AACTAAAACTTATGCTACCAACTTTGTTCTATCAGTTAGTCTGTAAGGTGCTACAAGATCTCATTGAGACACTGGGAGGCCAGTAGTGGACAAATTCTGTGGCTTCAGGAACCAATTGCCTGTTGCAATGACCCGCTAGGGGCTGAACAAAGTGAAAAAGAAAAAGTGAACAAAATTGGAAGTAGCTGGATGTTTATGACTAGCTTTAAAAATGGAATGAAAATTCAGCCTGTGACCTATTTTAAAGAAGAATCAGGAAAAACCATTTGGCCTTTTTTTGTCTAGGGATTCCTGTGGGATAGGGAACCACAAAAAGTGACTTGACAGTGTACTGTTATTCCTCAACCTGGGAGTAGGGCTGGGTGGGAGAACTGCTTCCTTTTGGCACCACACACTTTAACAATAATAACCAAAAGCAAAGATGCAAAGCTGCAGGCTGTTGTAATTCCAACAATATCCTTTTTGTTTCCCCCTTCATTGTGATTTTTAACATCTTTGCCTGATGAACTAGCCAGTGAACTTTGAAAGCTAGCATGATATATTTGTATTATTATTGAGTTGATTTGTTTAAAGATTAATGTCTAAAGCTTTGTTATATTTAGGCAATTCATGAGGTTTCTCCAAGTATTCTGATATTTTTCCCTTCTTTCATGGCAGTCCCATTTTGGCTACAGTTCTGTCAGCATTCACCATTTGAGTTTGCTATTAGATTTCATCCATCTTTCATTCTGAGAACGCAATATAGCCAGCACAGCTTAAAAATGAACAGTGGGAAATACCACTTTGTAAACTTCATTCTTCTTAAAACACAGAGGATGTCATAAATGTATATAAACTGAGCTTAGGGAAACATTGATTTTGATTCCTAAAGTTAATTGGAAATCTCAGCCAAGCAAAGGCTCACTTTAAAAAAAGACCCGGAGTCTGTGTATTGTTGACCTGAGTTCAACCATCTTTTTAAAAAGTTGCCTAGGAATTATCTATTGTCATAATAGGGGCCATACCAACGTTGAGAAATACAGTATGTTTATACAAACATGGCACTTATAAGCATATAGGATCTGATTTACAAGTGGTTACACACTACTGCATCAATTTGAAATGAATTGTAGCAGCAGCCTTCTTAAAAGTTGTGTAATGGTGCATATAGTAAAGGTAAAGGTTTCCCCTTGACATTAGGTCTAGTTGTGTCCGACTCTGGAAGATGGTGCTCATCTCCATTTCTAAGCCAAAGAGCAGGTGTTGTCCATAGACACCTCCAAGGTCATGTGGCCAGCATGACTGTATGGTGCACTGTTACCTTCCCACCGGAGCGGTACCTATTGATCTACTCATATTTGCATGTTTTTGAACTGCTAGGTTGGCAGAAGCTGGGCTAACAGCAGGAGCTCATCTGATCCCCGGATTTGAAGCACCAACCTTTCAGTCAGCAAGTTCAGCAGCTTAGTGGTTTAACATGCTACACCATTGGGGGTTCCCTAATGATGCATATAGTCACAGATAAATAAAAAAAACTTTAGGTGGACCTTTCAGGAGCAGGAATTTTTAGGGCTGATTCTTGTGTGAATCATCCTCAGTACAACACATGCTTGAAATCTAGGTTTATATAGGAAGGCAACTGTCATACACATTCTTAATTATTGTCAACTTCCAGTGAAACCAATTGGACTTCCTTGAAATTACATGAATATGGAACTGAGATTTAAAACAGACATCTTTTTCTTTGTTAAATTTACGGAAGTGTGAAACAAAAGTGAAAATTTAGATTTGCAATTCTAGGTGCTTAGGGTATTTAATTCAGCAATGATGCTAGTTTTTGTGCTTCCATTTCACTTGTGTGAATTTAGAAATAAATAACAAGTGAACTAATAACGGATCAGTAGCTTTTCTTTCAGGCCCCGATATTCCTTAAAGTATCATTTTTCATTTACATTTTAAAGTTTTTATTCCTACCTTTAAAAGCAGTAACTAGCAGTAGTCTAGAAAACTAACATTTCTTGTTTATTCAAGCATGACATAGTACAATAAAAACAAATTCTTAGTAGGGTCTTGGTGTCTAGGCCTGTTCTTGGGATCATTTCAGGAGCCAATTCAAAAAATTGCATTAAATGGACTGCATCAGCTCTAGTTTCTTAGATATGATTATCATGATTTTTTATTGGTAAACAGATGGTGACAGCTATATGGAATATGTATTTCAAAAACTAGAGCTGATAGGGGGAAATTCTTGGAATCAGATTAAATCTAATCAGGATCTTGACATTGGCAATCTTGGTCAGGAGAGCCTTGGTTACCCAAATCATATCAATCCTCGTCCACATTCTGTGACGTGCGGAGAAGAAGGTGTAATCTTTTCCCTCTGGATGGTAATGTCTCCATGTGTCTTCGAGGTCAAATTCCTCCTTGAAGTTTAGGAATTTTTTAGGTAGGGTATTTCTTTCAGTTTTAGGAACGTTACTTTCTCCTGAACACTTGTCTGCCTTTTTATCTAGAATGCCACTTGGGATAAAATACTCAAATTGGAAAAGAAATCCATCACAAAAATATACAACCAACTACTCGACTGGGAGGTGGAAACTGAAGGGATCAAGCAGTGTATGATATCATGGGCCAAAAATTTCGGCAGAGCGATAAATATTAATGAATGGCAGAACATTTGGCAAAAAAAATTAAAATACACATACGCCGCGTCTCTAAAGGAAAACTGGCTGAAAAGTTTCCATCGCTGGTATATGACGCCACAGAAGCTAAGTCAGATGTACAAGCAGTATAAGAACACCTGCTGGAAGTGTAAGAAAGAAGTGGGCAGTTATTTCCACATGTGGTGGACCTGCCCAGTCGCGGCCAAATACTGGAAAGCGATAAGGGAAGAAACACAAAAAAATATTAAGAAAAAGATCCCGCTGAAGCCGGAAATCTTCCTACTAGGGTTAGTAGAGGAAGATCTAGAAATGGAGAAGAATGAAGACATCATACTCACCTATAGCACTACAGCAGCGAGAATTGAATTCGCGAGAGTTTGGAAAGGGGACCAAGCTCCCACTATTGAACAATGGCTAAATAAGCTTCTAGACATTAAGGATATGGACAAGTTAACATTCTATCTGAAAAAAGTTCTGGGTCCCCAATAAAACAAACTAACTGGGAAGCATTAGAGGAATATGAAAACAGAGCTTAGAAGTCAAAACTACTCATGGAAAATAAGGAAAAGGACAAACGGTAAAACTCTTGAACCAGAAGGGTCAAAAAACCCTTTTTCGGAACCACCCCCCCTCCTGGTCGAGAACCGGGAAGGGGCTCCGAAAAGGCACAAACAAGAAAGTTAATAAGGATACAAAGGAAGGGAAGTCTTCTTATACTGTGTGTAGAGATTTGTATGTTAGAATGGTGTGGTAAGTTATGTTACAGTTAATTGTGTGCAGGTATGTTTGTACCCAACCCGGCACCCCCCCCCCCCAATTTTTAAATGTCCCACCCCTTGCCCCTCCTTTTTTTCCCATGCCACATCCCATTTCCCCCCTTCCCCTTCCCAGAGTTGCTACCCCTACCCTCCCCAACCCCCTCCCTTGTGAATGTAAGAGGCTATGCATCCTGGTGAATGTACAGATGACGTTTGTATTTTAACATTTGGAAAATTAATAAAGATTAATTATATATAAAAAAAAGATTAAATCTAATCAGAAACAAGGCTAATATTTGAGGCACCAAAATATGTGTTGGCCAGTGAGCTACTTCTATCCAGATAGGTTCACAATGACTCTGTTACACAGTGATTCTCTTACTCTTCTTGCAAAATATGTGATTCCTAGCCAGAGATGTCTCATACACTTGATGCTCATAATTCCTCCAGGTTCCATGCTTTTAAATGATTTGCTTTTCACTGGATCTTCACAGATGATCACAGATGGTGATCTAAGTTTTCTGAGATACTGTTTGATGGTCTGCTATTGCTCAATACTTATCTATTGTCTAACTGGACAAAGGAGCCCCTGGTGACGCAGCGGGTTAAACTGCTGAGCTGCTGAATTTGCTGACCAAAAGGTGGCAGTTCAAATCCAGGGACTGAACTACCACTGTTAACTCCAGCTTCTGCCAACCTAAGAGTTTGAAAACATGCAAATGTGAGTAGAATAGGTATTGCTCCAGCGCTCCATGCAGTCATGCCAGCCACATGACCTTGGAGGTGTCTACGGACAACTCGGCTCTTTGGCTTAGAAATGGAGATAGCACCAACCCCCCCCCCCCCCCCGAGTTGGACACGACTGGACTTAATGTCAGGGGAAAACTTTTACTTTACTGACTGGACAAAATAATTTTTTTCATTTGTAATCAACAAGCAGGAACAACCCAGTTAGCATATTTTAACAAAAACACAGCCATAGTTTTACCATTTATTGGGTTGTTACTTTGTTTGAATTTACTGTCTTATGTTGTCCTTTCTTTGGCAGTTATCAGATCCAATTACCTTCCTAGCAACAAATAACTGTCAGAAATGACATCCCCAACTACAACCAAGAATGAGGGAAAGTTATAATATCATAATAACCCCACTAAGAAGTAAAAAATATTATTGATAGTAACATGGTAGTCTGTTTTAAAGAAGGGTTTTGTTTACTTTGTTTTTAAAGGAAAAAGTAAAAGGACTTCAAATGACTATGGACAGTGGCAAAGGCTAACAACTGTAGTACGTGTAACAACTGTATTTCAGTAGTGTACTCAAATACGAATTTATGTCATGCCTCTCTGACTCTGCCAAATATTCAAAAGCTTTGGTCTGAGAAAGAGTTTTATGATCTCAATTATCTCTCCTAGGTGAAGTAAAAAAGAAAGAAATTTTAAGTGGAAGAAGTGTGTTCAATGTTTTCAGATCACTTTTCAGTCTTTAAACAAATGTGCTCAGACAGGTCAGCAAATACAGGGCAACACAGTGCTTTATTGTGGGTGAAATCTTAGGCGCAGTTTGGATATTGCATATTCTGTATTAAAGATCAGAGTCTGAATAAGTTACTACCAGTATTTTATTGAAAATCCATGGGATTTTTCATGTTCACCTACAATTGTGGCACTTCATTACTTTGCCTGTAACTTAATATAAGATTATTAAGAATAGCTTTGGCCATAACTTCATAACCACAGATGTATTAAGAATATGCCACTTTCTAAAGCATAATAAGACCCTAAGCTCTTACAAAGAGCAGTACAAAATAAAACATTATACTAACACAATACAGATATGTCTACTTTGTACTATGCTTCTTGCAACACATTAATATTGCTTTGTGTCTCATTGTCACTTTCAAATCCTGCATGTTTCCCTGGAGAAAGACATCTGTCTTTATTATTAGAGGTTCCTTTAGCTTTCCCTTTTCTTCTGTAAGAGTCCGTAGCATTGCTTTTTTCTTTCTCCTCAAAAAGCAAACTACTGGATTGATCTCTGTTTTCCAATGCAATCTGTAGAGAGCTGTAAAATCTAAACAAAGAATAAATAAAACATAGATTTGCATTTTTTTTTAAAAAAAATCAGACATTCTTATTTTTAGTTCACTTGGATCTCACAATTCAAAAGCTACAGATTTAGAACAAGAATTACAGACCACATGAATACAAATGAGTATATATGTAAACAAAATCTTTTTAATACATTTTTCAGATGCCTTTAAAACACATTGCCCATGTAAAAAAAAAATAACACAAAAGGCATTCCTATATGCAGTCACTATAATGAAGCTTGATGAAAGCTTATTGGCATGTTCAAAACTGATTATTTAGGCCTAATTTCTAAACTTCATGCTTTGATTGCATCTGTCAAAAAGAGACAGAGCAATATATGTTAAAACCTGCTTCATATCAAGCCAATTTTATTCTAATAACCAGTACCAGACTCCTAATAACTCACCTACATATTTTTCACTTGATGTGCACAATAAGTAATTACTAAGATGGACAGAGAAAAAGAGTGTTTTCACGTTTTTTTGCACAAACCTGTCAATTCTTTTCCTGTTTTCTTCCATCTTTTGATTAGCAACTTGGACGACAAAATCCACATATTCTTCACTGACCATCAGTTTTCCTTTCTGGCTTAGTGGAACTTCCAAGCAATGGGTGCTCCGCACAGCCTACAGCAATACAAAATCAATGCTCTGATACAAAAACAGCCTCACTGGATCTATAATTTCGGCAAAAATCCATCATCAAAAATTAACTAAGTGGCAGGAGGAGAATATTGGAAATCACACTATTTCACCATAATGTGCCATCTTATATTATTTTAATAATCATTGAATATTTGACATAGTTTTCATCAACATTACTCACAGGAGTAACCATTATATCATTCTCTTTGACAAATGGCTGCATTCATTGCTGCACTCGAGACTTGAACAAAATCACTTGGAGTCTCTTCATCATAGATTCAACTTTCTCAACTTTCTATGACAGAGTACATCCATACTGTATTTCATTGCATAATAGCGGTCACTGCACAATAGTTTCATCCCTCTTTTTTTTGGGGGGGGGGTGTCCCAAAATGAGGTTTTCCCCTTTCTTGCATGATAGTCACATCCTTGATTCACCTGCCCATGTGCCTGAGACCGCAAAGGGGCTTTTTTCGTCACATAATAATTGCCACCACAAAAAAATCACAAAAGAGGTTCACCATTTTACTACATCATTATATATATTGGGACCTGGCATCCATGGATTTTTTTAAGGGTCCTGGAACCAAACCCCAGCTGATACCGAGGTCCCCTGTCCCCAAACACTCTTCAGCATTCAGATGTTGGGCACGGTTTCTTTTGCAGGACTGCAGGGTCTCTACCTATCAACTTGACTCCATCTTCCTTGATGGTGGGAGAAACAATTAAACAACATCTGGAAACCCATAGGTGCCATAACCAAGTTCTCCTGGGTGCTGCACCTAAGGCCAATTTGTTGTCTGGTTTTCAATGGCTCAAAGAAATGCCAGGGACATCATAGTACAATCACAAATGTATTATCCCCATGAAGTCACATATTGATACTAGCACTGTCTACAAAAAATTGAGACCACGTGGTGAGCCCAGAAGAAGTACTGTATTTTTTTCTATAGCAAAGTACACAAACCAGAATATACCATTATGATCTTTCCTTTTCGGCCAACGGTTATACCAGAGTTCCTGAACCCGGCTTCTATGGCTACAGTGTGCTGTAAAAATAAGACCAAACAGCTAGTGTAAGTGACATACTTAATTTAGCTTCCATGGCAGGATAAGAACATACTAAGATAGATTTGCAACAATGAAAGAGAGTATTCTATTAGTGCTCTAAATGGTTTTAGGAATATATCTAATTATTTCCAATTCCTTGCTACATTATACCAAATATAAAGAGTTGGTTCTGTTTTGTATTACTCTGAAATGTTTCAGCAGAAGGAAGCACTTCAAACAGTATGCAGCTTATAAATGCTTGTAATTTGATTTCAATAGCAGTATGAAAATACACTTTGACTAAGAAAAATTATATTAAGGTCCTCATGCATGAAAGAGCATGGATCTTTTCTCCTAAGCAGCAGAACTATTATATCATACTAAAAGTCAATTCTGAAGAAATTTGGAGCTTGAAAAGCAACTTGCCATATGGCTTGGACAGAGCTACCACTGGAAGTGGGGAGTGCTGTACTATGTCTCCTCCACAAAGAATGTCCCCTCATTGCAACCACATTACATACATGTCAGCGAAAGTTTAGGAAGATATTCAGATGGAATTTCATTATACATGTGAAACAAAAGGGAAGAAAAGGAAATGTCAGTGATAGTTTAAAAAGAGACACAGCCACGCTCCTAACTGAATGAATGGTAGTCACTGAAGAGCAGTAGTTACCAGACAATCTATGCCCCTTGTGGGAAAAAAATGCCAGCCATAAAAGACTGTCATTATTTTTTAAATGACCATTCTGGCATTAGTGAGAGCTCTGTCACTGATTTTAACCAAACCATAATTTTCTAATGAAGATCACATCTGCTGAAATAATGGAAATCCCATTTTTCCACAGTCATATTTTCTTACTTATTAAATATACAGTGCTTTAGGGAATGCTCGAATGTGTGAAAACTAAATCAGGAGCCAACTGTCAGTTATGTAGTAAGTGTGGAATTTAAGTACAACATTTCACTTTACCAGAAGTTGGGCATCTTGCAGTTCTCGACACTGCACGTGAAGTACAAATGGTTCAAATTTGAATACGGCATCCTCTTTAGCTTTCTGCAATGCTGTAAGCTGAAAGATCCATAATATGTCAATATCAAGGCTACATCAGTAAACATTGATAGTAAAATATCACACTATTTAGCATATATGAACAACATAAGTTGATTCAGCCTACTAATTAAAATACCATATTTCATTGATGCTAAGATGTCACCAACTGTAAGGCTTACACTAATTTTAGGACACAAATAGAAAAAAATCAAGATGTACGGTTTTTAGTGATGTTTATATGGGGAAATGTGTCTAAGAATCAAGTATTTAGTTTTACAAACTTTAATACTCATTTTCTTTGTTTGGTTAATTTTTTTTATAAAGGCTTAACTTCCCAAAGGCTGTGACAGATAAAATGTTTCAGAAGGCACCAATGTTTCATTCATATTTGAAGTTTCAGCAAAAGCTTCAACCAAACTAATTTTAGTATTTTCTTATACAGTTCAATGATTAAAACAATCCATTGAAAAATAGTGAAACTTTTTCCAAAGACAAGACAAGCATTGTTGCAAATGACTAATGTCTATATTGGTGTAACAACCTTGGTATCTGTTGGATAATGAAATCAATTTAATCCTGAGTATTCCAATGATTTTTTTAAATGTAAGGAGAGCCAATATTGTGTAGTGATTTGGGTACTAGATTAAGACTTTGAGAAACTACAGTTTAAATTCTTGCTCAGCTATGAAAAGCCAATGGGTTACCATGGGAGAGTCACACTCTCTCAGAATCAGAGAAAGACAGAGACAAACTCCATCTGGACAAATTTTGCTTAGAAACCCTGTTCCCTTTAGTGTTCCCATAAGAAAGAAAAAAATGACTAGAAGGCACACAATAATAAGTATCTAATCTACATATGGCAAATAGTAAAAGTGTTTCCATTTTAGAAAAGTCTACAGTTAATATTACAGTCCCAACCTTGAGAGTGAAACTAAATAGCTTTGAATTTCCTTGAAATCTTACATAGTTACGTAATTTCACAACTGCATTAGTTTTTATGGGAAATACAGAAGTGGCTCCAATAAGAACACTAGGCAAGAAATCTACTTATTCTACAGGAAATTTCTTCTGCCAAGGCTACTATCATGCTAGCATTAAGTGGAAATGTGTACTCCTCAGAAGGTATTGTCTGTACACAGGTTCCTATTCTGCTTAATGTCCCAAATAACATGATCTTAATTTAAGCAAAGTTTTTTCCATACATATGAGGCAAGAATGGTGGCTAAAATACTCCAGGAAGAGAATCAAATTATGTCTTATTCCTTCAGGACTGGAGGGCGGGGGAGGAAAGGAAAGGAAGAGACTGTAATAGTCTTAAAAATACATGCTCACATTCCTGACTGGATGAATATATTTGAAATTATTATTTTGATATTAGTGAGAGCTATGCCACTGATTTTAACCATTGTTTTCTTTCAATGTCTTGTTCTTTGTGGGAATATTACACCGTTTCAGTCTTAACTTTCAGTGAATAGAAAATGAGAGAAGATAGGTTGCTGTGGGACCTAATTAGTTTGACCAGACTTTTGTCCAAAATTTCAAATATGAATGGGATATTAGCAGCTATTTAAATTTGAAAGTGCACAATTAAACATTATAGAGGGAAGGAACATGCTTCGACCAGCTATTAAGGATGGATTCAATGGTTTCACATTTGCCTTAATAACTGAAAAAACAACTATTAAATGATATCAATTCAGGAAATGAAAAGATTATAAAAAGCTTACCACTATGATCCCCCCCCCCCCCCAAATCATTATAATATTCTATCTCTATCTTTCGGAGAATCCATGCATGGAGTGGGGAATTAAACTGACCACTTTCAAAACTCTCTTGGGCTAGAACAGCCAGGGAAGGAGGTAGCGAGGTTTTGGTTGCCTTGTTATTGTTCAGCTGGCTGAATCCCCTTCTCCTATATGCCACTTTCCATTCCTATTGCAAACAGTGAGTGTAGTTATGAGGCTTGATCCTGAACTATGCAGAAAGAATGGGCTGGATCCAGAAGATCCTAGGTCACTACTACTATGATCCCTAAACACCCCGATCAAGCCCAGGCTCTTCCAAGGAGGGCATCTGGGGTTTTGGAGACACCTGATTAGTGAAGGTCTTCCCACTACAACTCGAACTCATTGAATGTCAAGACTGCAACCTTGTTCAATAAGACTATGCAATATTCTCATGAAGAACAAGATACTGAAAGAAACAATCCGAACGGTAACCCTGAACCAATTTCAATTCACTTGGCGATACAACTGAACTCACTGGGAACTGCCTTGAGTAAATATGCTTTGCATTTAGAGCAGGCCTACTTTTCAAAAAATCCTAACAAAAAACCAAAGTACAAAATGTTGTTTCAGTTAAATATATAAAATCACTTAGAACATCTATGTTTCAAATACCAAATGGTTATATTAAATCCTTTAAAAAAATCAGACACCTAAATAACAACTTTATTTATTAGATACCCAGGTTTCTTTTACCATAGTGCATGGTATGTGAATTATTCCTTTATACTTCTTTATTAAGGAGCCAAAGCTATAAATCAGTGTGGATTTTTGAAGTGCCAACACATGAAACTATTACGCTTTTAAAATAAATATAACAAACTTAATATTGATTAATGTATTCTTCTGGGTATTACTCCCTGCAAAATACTGTGACTGTTATGGTGCCAGCATATTTGAAAATTATTTTAATTACAGGATCCTCATACATCTTGTGGTCTATGCATTTATCAACCTTTTTATCCCAACAAAGGGCATATATAAAACATAGTGATTATACTCTGATCCAAAGTATATATATAAAGGAGAGAAGGCAGAAACTCCAGATGCAGCAAAACTCTCTTTCCTATATTTGCTGTAATGTCATCAGAAAAAGAGACCAGCCTCGAGAGGCAATTTAAAAAGCAACTTTTTGATATCAAAGCTGCTATGGCAGATACTTCAAAGAAAACTTTGGCTGTTCCCCCTCCACACATTTATAGCTTCTTTGGCGTGTGGCCTAAGTCTACAGAGACTGACAAATCATGTTCCTTCAAAATATGGGTTTGAAATATGTGTTGCGACTGAAGATTATTGTTACCTTATACCTCCTAGATCACTAATTTCCTGCAAAAGGCTCAGCTTTAATATTAAAATACTGAAAGTAATTTCCTATAATGTCTTCAAATCATACACCGCAGCCCTTCTTCCATGAAAGCTAACTGCCAAAATTCTCAGTAGATGGAGATCAGGCTCTCAATCAATAATTAGGAAAGCATAGCTTTGGAACTGTAATTATATATTTCTGGGGTTAAACCAAGTCCTCTTTCAGATTTGAAAAATGTCCATTTTTTCATTAAAACATAATAATGCTTTTTGCCATGTGGTCTTTGGATTAGAGTGGAGGAGGGTTCAGAGAAAGTGTTATATATATTTATTGGGACTACAGACCTCCTTCCATAGGCTTAATTTGTACAGTTATGAAATAACCATACCTATTGATCTCTAAAATAGAATCCTTCAGAAATCTTATGTTAATCAGAGTCAGGAAGCAATTGCCATACATTATTTGCATTATACTATTATGCATTATTCAGAGCAACTTATTGTCGCTTAATGACTCAACTATTATAAAAAGCTTGCTTTCCTACTTAAATTGGTAACCTCAATGTTGGGACTTCTGTAATGCACTTTACATTGGGCTATCTCTGTACTAAGTTTAAAAACTCCAATTAATTCAAAATATGTTTGCCAAATTGGTTACAGGGAGTGAGATTATTACACTTATATTAAAGTCATTCCATTATAGTTGCCAATTAGTTTCTGGAAAAAGTATAGAATGTTGGTTTTTACCGTTAAAGCTCTATATGGTTTGGGTCCAGGTAACCTACAGGATCACCTTCTCCTGTACAATCTGCTCCAATGACTGAGGTCCTCTGGGGGAGCGGCTACTCCAACCAGCCAGAACCCGACTGGTGATGATTACCCAAAGGACCTTTTCATCGGTCAGGCCAAGACTGTGGAATGACCTGCCAGAAGAGCTCCAATAGCTAAACAAGTTGTCAAAATGTAATAAACAATTAAAGACCTACCTCTTCTGGCAGGCCTACCCAGTCAATTTTAAACTATGAATTTTTAATGTACATTTTATTAGTAGTAGTTTTTTCTGTTTTTAATACAGGCAGTTTTTAATTATGAACAAGATAGGTTGTGTAGGTTTGCTCTTAAGTTGAATTTGTTTGTAAGTTGGTACATTTTTAACTGTAACTCCATCCAAATGTGTGTATATGTATGTGTGTGTGTGAACTTTGGATAGCATAGTTAACACCCCTGTGAGATTTCACCTCACTATCTGTCCCTGTGAAAATTGGATTTTAGAAAAAGTGGCTTGTTGTGAAAACAAGGATAGGTGAGAAAGCTTCAGTGGAAACACCTTTTTCCCATGATAATATTTTCCAGAGTGAATTTCTCTTCCTATAGATTTCTCTCACTTTCTATTGTCTCACCCCTGTTCTTAATTATGAGTCATTTGTAAGTCAGATATTTGTAACTCGTGGACTGCCTGTATATGTATTTTTATGGTCCTTTGTTTTACTTATGTAACTTTACCCACCTTAAACTTGGTGGAGGGCATAAAAATAAAATGCATTATTATTATTATTATTATTATTATTATTATTATTATTATTATTTTACCTGTGAGCCAAAGATAAAACTATTTTTTATTCAAAGCACTTGAAAGTAATTTCATCATAGAATACTTCTACAGAGCAAGCATTTATAGCAACAATGAAATAAAATGTCTGGGTGAAAACTGTGCTGCGTGAAAGAAATTAATGGAGATAATAAAAGGATTTTTTATATTAATAGTGTAGAGATTTTTTTAATCCATGGAAATGATATATTTTATTGCAATTTTTCTTTTCAGCAATCCAAAGCCTGCCCTCAGCTGGCAGAAACTGGAAGTATCTACTTTTTTTGTCAACTGTCAAAAAGACCAGAAAAATTGCTGCAAATATTAATATATATATAGATTAAAACATTTTTAATTCTTTTCAAAAAGCATGCACAACTCAGTTTCCATATATTTTCTTTCACCACCAGCAGCCTCACCATAACAAGCCCAATTCTTCTTACACTGGAATTACTACAAATATATAAATGTATCAAACAAGAATATTTGCAATGAACATAAAGAATAACTTGTACTACTTCTTACCACGTCTTCTATTGTACAAATTTGATGGGTCACCATGAGCCAGGTACAATTTTGCTTCTGTACTTCAAAGCCTGTGGTAGCCTATAATGAGAAAACAGTTTTATTAGTCTACTCAAACACAGAAACCAACTCTTCTTAAATCCCAATGCTCCTATATAAAAACCACTAGAAACTCCCAAAACTGAGGAAGATGAAATGCCAAGGGATAGGGCTGCATGGTGCTTCCCAACTAGACTTTTATTCTGCAATACTCCTATCTCAGACAAGTAATTTTACAGGGAGTCCAAATGATACTATTTGCCTCCTATGTTTTACCAGACAAAGCTGTTACCAGGAAGAAGGATTAAATGGACATTTCTAGAGTTCCTACCACTCACAGTTCAAGGGCATAATATAGTTTTTTAATATTTTTCCCCACAACATATTTTCTCTGGTAAGAAAGAACAGAAAAGAAAATGATGGAAAATGTGGGAAGAGGATATGGTATATACATAAGACTTCTTAACCTTTTTCTACTCATGACCCCTTTCCACTGAGAAATTTTTACATGGCCCTGGGTATATAAAAAGGGCCTTTTGGAGTCCTCCTGGATAATGGATCAGTACCAAAATAGGTATAAATTGTGCTCATAATGAAACAGCATTTGCAAGGCTTGCTAAACAGGCTGATTTTTCTTTTTTTATGGAGTACAGCTGAAGCGTTTTCTGAAGAGCCTACTGTAAACACTACACATTTGTTCAATGTCTAAAATAACCACTGCTAATATTTTTCATGACCCCAACACTGAGCTAAGGGGACCACATTTGAGGTTGGGGCCCACAATTTAAGAAGCAGTGGTCTAGAGCTTCCATATAATTTCATGACTGAATTGATCCAACGATAACCTCTTAAAATCCCGAATACATTTTGTCTAGTAGCTCTAGTGGGTTAAACCGCTGAGCTGCTGAACATAATGACCGAAAGGTTGGCGGTTCGAATCCGGGGAGTGGGGTGAGCTCCCGCTGTTAGTCCCAGCTTCTGCCAACCTAGCAGTTCAACAACATGCAAATGTGAGATCAATCGGTACCACTCTGGTGGGAAGGAAACAGTGCTCCATGCTGGCCACATGACCTTGGAGGCATCTACAGACAACGGTGGCTCCTCAGCTTAGAAATTGAAATGACTCCCCCTCTGCCCGAGTTAGACACAACTAGACTTAATGTCAGGGGAAACCTTAGTAGCTCTAGAAGACTGATGCCTGTGCTCCTGTTCAAAAGATTTCTCCTCACTTTCTGTTCCAGTGATAACTGGATTTTGGAAAAAAAGTCTTCTTGTGGAAACAAGGATTGGGGATAAAGCTTCAGTGGAGACACCTTTTCCCAATAATAATAAGTGTTTCAAGAATAAATTTCTCTTACAAATGATGTGTTAATTATGAGTAATTGCTAAGTCGGATGTTTGTAACTAAGGGGTTGCCGATCTATGTAAACATATGGAAGATTATAAACACACATGTTTGTGTATACATATCTATAAATAGAAAAGTCTAAGTTTTTGGGGGGTATTGTTCCATGATCCTGATGGAGGTCAAAAGGGGGCGCTAGACAAAGAAGGATAGTCCATTTTATGGGGGAAGAGGGTTGAAGAAGTTAAATCACACATGGGCAAACTTCAGCCCTCCTTAGTAGCTCTAGAAGACTGATGCCTGTGCTCCTGTTCAAAAGATTTCTCCTCACTTTCTGTTCCAGTGATAACTGGATTTTGGAAAAAAAGTCCGTGTGTTTTGGACTTCCACAATTCCTGACAGCCTACCTGCAGTCAGGAATTGTGGGAGTTGGGAGTCCAAAACACCTGGAGGACCGAAGTTTCCCCATTGCAGAGTTAAACCATTTATCTATATGAATAAAAATGTAATGTTTGTTTGTGGGATTAACATAACTCAAAAACCACTGGATGAATTGACACCAAATTTGACACAATACACCAATCAGGCCAATGAGTGACCATTACTCATAAAAACACTGAAAAACACAGTGGAAGAGACTTAAAAAGCAAAAAAAAACACCCCACACCAAACAATAACATTACAACGCATGCACAAAACCACATATATATATGTATATACATACATATACATAAATATATACACACATATGTATACACATACACAAAACACTATACACAGACTGGGCCACAGTAACGCATGGCAGGGGACAGCTAGTAATAAATAAATAATAAAACTTTATTTATATACTGCTCTATCTCCCAGAGGGGAATTCTGGGCAGTTTCCAAGCAACATCACCAAAACATACAGAGTAAACAGTGTAACATAAAATTAACAACATAAGCATAAAATTATCACAATAACACATATATATTAAAAGTAATCCTACCTCTTCAGAGCAAGTAAAAACCTGGGCACAGGTTAGTGCAAACTCAAAATATGAGGGGACCGGGAATACAATGCTAGAACAGGCTAACAGCAATAGCAGGTACAGGTCTGTGGCTGCTCATTTCCAGGGCCTATTAGAGGGATGACCGGGGTAATAGGTAGGAAGTATAAGGTCATATTTAACAATGTTTGGGGTTGTTTTCCAGTTATTCCCCCTACTCATGCTGCCCTTGTCCAAACAACCATCCTTTATGACAGGGGTCCTCAAACTTTTTAAACAGAGGGCCAGGTCACAGTCCCTCAAACTGTTGGAGGGCCGGATTATAATTTTTAAAAAGTGAATGAATTCCTCTGCACACTGCACATATCTTATTTGTAGTGCAAAAAACACTTAAAAACAATACAATAATTAAAATTAAGAACAATGTTAACAAATATAAACTTATTAGTATTTCAATGGTAAATGTGGGCTTTCTTTTGGCTGATGAGATAGGATTGTTGTTGTTGTTATGTGCTTTCAAGTCGTTTCAGACTTAGGTTGACCCTGAGCGAGGGCCGGGTAAATGACCTTGGAGGGCCGCATCCGGCCCATAGTTTGAAGACCCCTGCTTTATGATATAGGAGGGGGGAGGGAAAATCAACAAAAATGGGGGAAAACTGTTTTCCTCCTCCAACTCCCCCGCATAAAATGGGACTGTCCTTCTGTCTAGGCTCCCTTTTGGAGTCTGCCCGGAGGATGGAACAGTTCAGTTTCTTGATTGGCTCCTATGCTGCTTGATGAATCTGGGCCAAAGATGACACAGGAAGGGAGAAAGGGGAGGAAAGTATATGAGGGAAGTCCCTTCATTATTTGAGGTTGGGTAATGAAGGATTTGTATGCCACGTCTGGCCCAAGTCCACATAGGGGCCTTTGTGGTACAAACCAGCACCCACTGACTATTACATATGTGTTGTTTAGACAGACACGTATGAAGGGGTGGGTGCCCCGCTCTCACCTGGCCGCGCGGAGGGGGGCGGGGCGCCGGTGGCTGCTCCAGGACGACCACGCGCCCCGAGCACGAGCTGGTGGTGCAGAAGCTCTCGCGGCCGTTGAGGAGCCGCACCAGGTCCTCGATGGGCTCGTCCACGCTGCCCTTGCGGCTCTCGTCCGCGCGCGAGAGGCGCTGCGCTTTCCAGTGCTCGAAATCAGCCATGAGGGCCGGGAACGGCGTCACTCCTGAGAGCGCGCGGGCGCCGCCATTTATAATCCGACGGCGGCGCGGCTGGGACAAACTTGGCATCTAAAACGCGAACGCGCGCCCGCTGAAAACAAGCCAAAGTTCCCATTGAAGTGGCTGCAAAAAGCCAATACCTTCAATTGTACGACCTGCTGCTTAATCCCTTCCGGACCGAAACCTTCCTTGTAGAACAGGCAAGGGCAAACTTCGCCCCTTCAGGGTTTTTGGACTTTGTTAGGAATTGTGGGAATTGAAGTCCAAAACACCTGGAGGGCAGGTTTGCCCATGCTTGGTCTAGAATGGATGCGGTTTGACTCCGTGTTAGTGCTATAGAATCCTGGGAGTTGCAGTTTTACAAGGTCCGTAGCCTTTCCTGCCGCAATGCCAAACTACAGCTCCCAGGATGCCAGACCACTGAGCCATGGTGCTTAAAGTGAGCGTTTCCCTGCACATTCCTAATAAGGCGCTTCCAAAGAGGGCGGAGGCTCCTCCTTTGGAAGCTTGTAAACAGAGGCTGGATGGCCATCTGTCGGGGGTGCTTTGAATGCAATTTTCCTGCTTCTTGGCAGAATGGGGTTGGACTGGATGGCCCATGAGGTCTCTTCCAACTCTAGGATTCTATCCAGTTTTTTTTTTTTATTGCTCCAGAGTAAACTTCATAAACTGCCAAACGAGTGCTACTCAGATACACCTCAACTCTAAATTCAGTAAAGCGAACTGACATCTTCTTTTATGAGCCTGATTCGGGAAGAGTGTAAGACCACTGCTTGTTCCTAAAGTGTACACTTCTCCTGTTCTGAGACCTCAGTTGGCGCATGCGTAATAGTGAGTCTCTCGGCTAGGCGAAGAAAATTCATTTGCGCATGCGCGAACCTGGGAGAGTCCAGTCAATCCGGAATTTAACAGAAGGCGCATCCGTAGCCTTAGTTGGCTGCAGGCACTGATTTCGCCAGCAGGGGGCGCCCTTGTGGTTGTCAGGTGCGAAATGTAGAAATCCCCACTGTCAAAGCAGTTACGGCAGTTGCTTCTTGCTGCTGGGAACTCCTAATACCAAGGAGCTTAGCTTGGACCCTGATCATTCCTGACTTTGGCCTTATCTACATTGACCATTTAATACAGTTCCACACCGGTATTGAAGAAAGTGGTTTTGTGATGGATTATATAGTAAATCCTGGAAACAGATGATGGTGACACAAACCAAAGGGCTTTCTTTTGCAATCCAGTTCAAAGCAAATGATATTTTTACAGGCAGTGTGGACTCAGATAACCCAGTTCAAAGCAAATATTGTGGGATTTTCTGCCTTGATATTCTGGGTGTTATGGCTGTGTGGAAGGGGTCCAAAAGCAGAAGTGATTCAGCTTCTTAGGGCCCTTCCACACAGCCCTATATCCCAGAATATCAAGGCAGAAAATCCCACATTATCTGAGTGTGGACTCAGATAACCCACTTCAAAGCAGATATTGTGAGATTTTCTGCCCTGATATTCTGGGTTATATGGCTGTTTTGCACTAGTTATATACTTGCACAAGTATTCGTGTAAGGCAAATTAGGTTTCTCAGTTGTTAGAAAGATTTACCTAGTTATTTCCCTGAACTATTAGGAACAAAAATATGCCGATGCACAAAATATATAGCAGATCTTCAGAAGTGTTATTTCAGTTGCCCTAAAGCATATACTCTCCCATAAGATATATTGGTTTTAAATCATGCTCTGAAGAGATCAAAAATAGGTAGTCTTCATTAAAAGTAACATAGTTGAATTACTTACAAACTTCATGTATTCAGCATACAGGTATATTTCTTATTGGTCGAGAGTTGAAACAGTAAGTTCTCTAAGGCATTCTAATTCAGTCTCTTCTCTGTTGCATACAGACTAACACCCTCTTCAGTCTAATACATTACTGCACATTGACTCAATAAAGACTGACTACACACTGCAGCATACCGACACTAACCGACTTCTAAACTGTACTGTACCACTTCTAATGCAAACTCACTAATTTCTAAAATAGTCTTAGGCCCTTCCACACAGCCCTATATTCCAGAATATTAATACAGTAAGCAATCTGAATTATATACTTACAAATGATGAGTATAGGAGGCTTGTAGAAGTTGGAAATTTTGTTGCTATTTCCAGCAAAATAAGGATGACGAAATCATTTCTTTAAATTTATTTATTTATTTATTTTGTATCAAAAGCGTTGCATACATTAGTATAAAACCGATAAAAATAGGAGCGCAGGTGGCTAAATATCTTTTGACCAAAAATGGGCAACAGCAATGGCATTGTCTGTCGCCTCCAACAATTCTTCCTCTGTACATGAGGCAGGGCATATTGGACAAGCATACAGATGCGGAGTAGTCTGTTCTGCATTTCTTTAAATGATAGATCTCAAAATACAGCAAGTCATTATTCAAAGTGTGACAAAGAACACTGCTCCTTGCTTCTGTGTTTGTCTGCACCGGTGTGCCGTCGCACCTGGACGCTATAAAACTCTTAGTGAAAGAGATATAGATGTGACATCTTTCCCCCAGGGGATTGCTTCTTGCCTTCCTTTAAAGAACTGGAATTCCCAAGGACCAAAACACTGTAGATAACTCAAAATAGGTTTTATTGTTCACAAAGAGTTATCCCTTTAAGGCAATAAGCTGGAAGTTTCAAAGGGGGTAAAGGAAATATACATTACAGTCTCTGGTTGTCTTGGGTTCAAGGAGATTTTGCAGCTGAGAAGCGTTTCCTGTTCCCTCTTTTCTCAATGGCTGTGAAGGTCGGAACAAACACAACCCCCATCCAATGGCCTATGTTGAAGGCACAGAGTCTTCCTTTTGATGCCAAAGGACCGGTTTGAAGGCGCTTGGGTCTCCTCAACGTTGTCCAGGGCGATCTGGACATGAAGCATGAGTCCCAAGGGTAAAACCTTAGAATTGGTGATGAGAGGTAACTTAATTAAGGGTTTTAGAGCCAAGTTACTTTTTCACATCTATCTGATAGAAAGTTTGATGGTAGAATGGAAAAGGAAAAATTCTGCCCTCCTCCAGGAAGAGGTGGAGCCAAGCAATTGAGCTGAGGAAGCAATATAACTGGTGCAAACAACATTGACTGACAGCTATAAATAACCAATCAATCCAACTATACATTTACAAACTAAGCAAGTATGGGCATGCTATACAGTTTAAACCTTTGCACTTTAAAGTTCTACACACAGGTGGTGCCACCCGCGCCATCTCAACCGGACTTTCAGTGGTGATGCTGGTCCTCTTTATTGATAGGCTAAACATTTTGGTAAAACTAAAACCCAAAGGTGATGAATAACAGAATAAAATGGGTGGTGTAGCTCTGATTAAATTTTAGAGGAAGAAGTCTGTTATTTGATCTATTTTCTCAAAATTAGGAAAGGCAGTCAAGTTTAAGGCAGTGTATTTTATCTCTGATTTGCCAGGTTGCCATGGCAACAAAGAAGCAGCTGATGAAAGCCATCAGTGTGTCTGAATTCGGTGACCCTGAAGTGCTGAAGCTGAAGAAAGACCTTCCAGTGCCAGATCCAAAAGAGAACGAGGTAAAAACAAAACTCATAATTGAATAAAGATGTATGCAACAGAAAAGAAAATGTGTTATTTCTGCCACTACTTCTACTTCTAGGAGCTTTATCCAGTTTTCACTATGGCAGTCCTAAGTGGCAGCAGCAAGAAGAAGTTGTTCAAGGATTGTAATACATTTCCATTTCTCAGGCTGGAGCTATACTGCCTTATAATCCAGATTGTCAAAGCAGATAATCCAGATTATCTGCTTTGAACTGGATTATATGAGTCTACACCGCCATATAATCCAACCCAAAATACATAATCTGGATTTAATATAGCGGTGTAGATGGGGTGTTGTCAGAAATATCACTGGTTTAATGAGGGAAACACTGCTTTTATTGCCCTAGGCTTGCTTTAACTCAACAGTTCCTTGAGGTGAAAGATCTGAGAAATAAAATTATTATTATTAATTTATATGCTACTTTTTCTCTCTTAATGAGACTCAAAGCATTAAACAGTACTAACAGCATATACCATTCAAACCTAAAGACTATAAATGCTAAAACGGAATTAAATATAGAACTATATACAGAAAAACTGAATATAACTGCAATGGCTAATGGAAATGGATAATAGATAGACCTTGGACTGGAAATTTGGACTCTGACTTGGATTTAAGATTGGGCTTGGCTATGCTTTAATATTTTATAGTTCTGATATTTTAATATATATTTATAATTAATTGTCTATTTAATGTTGATTTGGTTTGTATTGTGATTGTTTGTTGTTTTTGGCATCTAATGGCTGCCAGTTGTCCCCCCTCATGGGGTTGAGAAGGATGGGATATACATTAGGCCTGGGTAACAACGCAAAAATTTGTTTCTAAAATCGATTCGTTTTTGGGGGGTTTTGCGTTTCGTTATTTAAAATAATTACAAAATTTTCCTTTAAAAAGTTCGGTATTTACGAAATTTCGTTATTATTAACGAATCGATTCGTTAAGATGGCGGACCCCCCGCGCATGCGCAAATCACTTCCGAAACTTCGTTATTGATGCGGGGTCGATTCGTTAAGGTAATAACGAATCGATTCGTTAAAATGGCGGACGCGATTTGCGCATGCGCAAAAACGACTTCCGAAACTTCGTTATTAAATACGAATCGATTCGTTATTAAAATAATAACGAATCGATTCGTTAAAATGGCGGACGCGATTGCGCAATGCTAAATGCTCTATAAACAAAATCATTTCATAAAATAAATCAAAAAAATAATCAAATAGAACAAGATATTAAGATAAAGATATTAAATAAAAAAGTAATAAGATAAAGTAGCCAAAACTGAGTCAATAATGAAAAAAACAATAATATAATAATAAAATTTAAATAAATAAAATATAAATAATAATAAATAATAATTTATAAATAATAATAATAAATATAATAAATAATATAAAATTATATAATATATACAATATAAAATAAAATTATATAATATAATAATATATTATTATATATATTATATAAATGAAATAAATAATAATATAAATATTTAAATAAAATATAATTAAATTTACAAAATATTTATAAAATATAATTATAAATAATAATAAAAATAATATATAAAATTAAATTATAAATTATTAATATATAAAAAATAATGTTATTATAAAAACTACACAAATAATGAGCGAGCACTGTCTTATAGCACTTTGTGTTGGCCAAAGGAGCGCACTGGAACTACACAAATAATGAGCGAGCACTGTATTATAACACTTTCTGTTGGCAAAAGGACCGCACTGGTTGGAACTACACAAATGAAATGCTTGCCCTGTTGTGGAGCGAACACAGCCACAGGACAGGGACAAACGCACACACAGGCACACAAGTTTCTTTTCTTTTTTTAGAATATTTTTTGAATTTTTTGAAGAATAAAAGAAATATATTTTTCAGAAATATTTAAAAATGGAAAATTAACAAAATGCTTGCCCTGTTGTGGAGCGAACACAGCCACAGGACAGGGACAAACGCACACACACAGGCACACAAGTTTCTTTTCTTTTTTTAGAATATTTTTTGAATTTTTTGAAGAATAAAAGAAATATATTTTTCAGAAATATTTAAAAATGGAAAATTAACAAAACGCTTGCCCTGTTGTGGAGCGAACACAGCCACAGGACAGGGACAAATGCACACACAGGCACACAAGTTTCTTTTCTTTTTTTAGAATATTTTTTGAATTTTTTGAAGAATAAAAGAAATATATTTTTCAGAAATATTTAAAAATGGAAAATTAACAAAATGCTTGCCCTGTTGTGGAGCGAACACAGCCACAGGACAGGGACAAACGCACACACAGGCACACAAGTTTCTTTTCTTTTTTTAGAATATTTTTTGAATTTTTTGAAGAATAAAAGAAATATATTTTTCAGAAATATTTAAAAATGGAAAATTAACAAAAGGCTTGCCCTGTTGTGGAGAGAACACAGCCACAGGACAGGGACAAATGCACACACAGGCACACAAGTTTCTTTTCTTTTTTTAGAATATTTTTTGAATTTTTTGAAGAATAAAAGAAATATATTTTTCAGAAATATTTAAAAATGGAAAATTAACAAAATGCTTGCCCTGTTGTGGAGCGAACACAGCCACAGGACAGGGACAAACGCACACACAGGCACACAAGTTTCTTTTCTTTTTTTAGAATATTTTTTGAATTTTTTGAAGAATAAAAGAAATAGGGCGAAAACAGGGCAAAGCCTCCCCGCTGCTCCCAGCCCAGGGAATGAATGCAAGCAATGAATGAATGCAAGCGAAGCAAGCCAAGCCTCCCTCCCGAACCTCCCGTCTCCTCGCCTTCCCCAGCAATGAGCAATGCAGCCACGCGGAGCCGCTTTTAAAGGGCAGCCCGCCCAATCACAATCAGCCACGGTGCTTGGGAGCGCCGGATTGGCTCCCGGCGTACCCAGCATCCTCCATCCCTAAAACGTCATTTCCGAAATGGGCGGAAACTCGTAAAAAAGATGGAGGATGCCGTTTTGATATTTAAAAACACTTCCGGGTTTGAAAATAAGTTTTGTAATCGTTTTGTAATTGCTAAAAATAACGAATATTTAACGAATTACAAAATTAACGAACGAAACCGCCCAGGCCTAATATATATGTTTGAAATAAATACATAAATACATATACATGTTTCATTGCATAATATTCACACTCCTCCTCTTTTTTCATCAAAAAGGGGGGTGCGACTATTATGTGAGGAAAGAAAATATCTCCCTTTGATTCTCCAGTTTCTTTCTTTTTTAAAAAAAGTAATAAAATGCCTTAGCTCTGAAAGGGAGGGAGGAGGTGATCCAGCTTCAAACAAACAGCTCCCTTTTCATTTTTAAAAAACTACAGAGCCATTTGGGGCTGATTTTCTCTTCTTTCCTTCTTTCTCCAAAGGAAAGGCAGTTTAAAAACTATAAATGGAGACGTCTGAAGCTCCAATCTTCCCTCCTCCTTTCTCCCTTCAGAGGCAAGACAGGTTTTTAAAAAAAAGCTAAAATGGAACTCTTTGGAAGGAGAGAAGATCACCATTTTAAGACTGCCTTGCCTTGGAGAAAGGAAAGGGGAAGCAAGACTGGAGCTTCAGAGATCTCTTGTTCATCGATTTTAAACTGTCTAGCCTTTGGAGAAGGAAGGGAGGCAGAATCAGCTCCAAATGGTCCTGCGACTCTTGTACGAGGAACACAAAAATACCAATTTTGCCACCACCACCACCCCCAAAATGGGAGTGTGACTATAAGAAAGTGGTGACTAATTATACTATGAAATATGGGTAGTTAAAAGCATTAAAACTCTCAGATTGGATATGGCAGCTTTTTATCTAGACATTTAGTAGTTAAAACTGGACTCTTAGGGCCCTCGGTGATGGCAGGACTGCCTTGTGCTGGCAGAACTGATGACTGACAGGTCAGCTGTTCGAATCTGGGGAGAGAGGGTTGAGCTCCCTTTGTCAGCTCCAGCTCCCCATGTGGGGACATGAGAGAAGCCTCACAAGGATGGTAAAACATCAAAACATATGGGCGTCCCCTGGGCAATGGCCTTTCAGTGGCCAATTCTCTCACACCAGAAGTGGTTTGCAGTGTCTCAAGTTGCTCCTGACATGAAAAACAAACAAACAAAAAACAACCCTGGACTCTTGAAAGTTAGTTTAGAAAGTAGTCCGATTCCCATTATTCACTGTAGTAATACTACATTTATTTTCTTTAAAGTCTGTTGACGTTGAGGCTATCTCTGATGACTTGGGGGCAGCTGGACTGGGGCTGGGAGAGGCCATATGAGGTCTATGAGTTGTACTTCTCCTCATCAACAACAAATGCAGTGTCATCCTCCAGGTTCTCATTAAGGTTCACGCATGTGGTGTTAATGCAATGGATACCTATATTCGTGCTGGGACATATCCAGAAGCACAAGTCTTACCCTATATACCTGGTACAGATGTGGCTGGAGAGATACAAAAAGTTGGGAACCACGTAGATGCATTCAAGGTATTCCATTTTAAACAGTTTATTTGCTGTCTTTTATTTAGTACAGTTTGAGCAACATCTTCTTGTGAGATGCAATTTCTATATCACCTGTATTTCGGAACTGCTGCCTATAGATTTCAATGTTCATTGCCACTTATTGACTTTACTGTTTTATTTTCTACTAAATTGATACCTGCAAATATGTTCTTGTCCAAAACTGATTTCTACATCTGATACCATAAAACTACCAGCTGTCCGGTATTCTATAAAGATTTTGGCCTGTAATTTTTTTATAGTTACTTTCCATAATTTTTGAAGTTGTTGAAAGAAACATTATCTTAATTAGAAAAACAAAATAACCCATTATAACTTGCTTTGCCATTCCTTAGATCAGGGGTGTCCAAACTTTTAAAACTGACGGCCAGTTCACGGTCCCTCAGCTTGTTGGGGGGCTAGACTATAGTTTGAGAAAAACATAAACACATTCCTATGCACACTGCACATGTCTTATTTGTAGTGCATGAACGAACAATACAATATATAAAATGAAGAACAATTTTAAGTGCACCAGTCTTTCAATGGGAAGTGTGGGCCTGCTTTTGGCTGATGAGAGAGTCAAGTTAATTAGAAGTGTTGTTGCGTGTCTTCAAGTCGTTTCAAACTGTGGCATATGCTGCCTCAGAGTCTGGTGGAGTCTCTTTCTGTGGAGGTTTTTCAGCAGAGGTAGCATGGCCATCTGTCAAGAGGGCTTTGGTTGTGGCAAAGAAGCATATAGTTGTTACCTGCCTCTCCCCTTTTCTTCCCAAGGGAGGAGCCGCAGCAAAGGGCAGCCTTTTTGGAAAACATGGGGTGGCAACATGGGATGACGGTGAAGCGGAGAAGGAAGATATGGAGGGAGGGAAGCCAGGCAGGTGCTCAATCTCCAGGGTCCACCCTTTCTAGCAATGCAGCAGAAGCGGCAGTGAACACCTGGGGTAAGCTGGGCAATTGGGGAGCCTTCCTCTGTCAACAACTGAAGCTTAGTTCTGACAAGACAGAGGTCCTCTAGGTCAGTTATTCGGCTGATCAGGGTAGAAGGTGGCAACCTGTACTTGACGCGGTTACACTCCCCCTGAAGACACAGCTTTGCAGTTTGGGGGTCCTTCTGGACTCAGTGCTGACGTTTGATGCTCAGGTATTGGCGGTGGCTGGGAGAGCCTTTGCACAGTTGAAGCTTGTGCGCCAGCTGCAACCGTACCTCAAGAAGTCTGACTTGACCATTGTGGTCCTCACCTTAGTTACCTCAAGGTTGGATTACTGTAATGCACTCTACATGGGACTGCCCCTGAAGATGGCTTGGAAACTGCAGTTGGTGCAAAGATTGGTGGCCAGGTTGCTAACCGGAGCAAACTACGGTTCTCTCTGGATGGAGGTGAACTACAACTCCAAAACTCTAGGTCAATGCCCACCAAACCCTTCCAGTAATTTCTGTTGGTCATGGGAGTTCTTTGTGCTAAGTTTGGTTCATTTGGTTCAATTTCATCATTGGTGGAGTTCAGAGTTATAGGTGTACTATAAATCCCAGCAACTACAACTCCCAAATTACAAAACAACCCCCCCCCCCCCACCCCACCAGTATTCAAATTTGGGTGTATTGGGTATTTGTGCCAAATTTGGTCCGGTGAACGATTCACAACAGTAGCAAAATTACAGTTCTGAAGTAGGAACAAACATGTCATGGTTGGGGGTCACCACAACATAAGGAACTGTATTAAGGGGTCACGGTATCAGGAAGGTTGAGAACCACTGCTCTAAGTGGTTCGGGAACTGTCTATCTTCGTAACCGCATCTTCCCCTCCAAACCTGTGCAATCTCTAAGATTCTCTGGGGGTGCTCTTCTCTTGATTCCACCTCTGTCTCAGGCATGGTTGGTGGGGACGAGAGAGAGGGCCTTCTCAGTTGTGGCCCCCGGCTCTGGAACTCCCTCCCCAGGGAGATTAGGCTAGCACCCACCCTGTCCACTTTCTGCAAAGAGTTAAATACACGGATGTTCCACTGTGCTTTTGAGTAGACAATTCCCTAGATAGCTGCCCCCAGCTAGGACCCTAATTCTTGTCCTTGCACTTTGCTATTGCTCTTAGCCTTACTGTTGCCATATCACCTATGCTGCCATATGACCTGTGACCTATGCACTTTACTCACTAGCCTATTCTTTAAATTATTGTTGCACCAGTCCGTCCACCTGTGACGATAAATTGAATTTGTTATTGGTTGTTGGTTTTGATGCCTGTTTTATATATTGTTACAATATTGTTGTTTTATTTAGTTTTATAACTGTTCTTATGCATTTTAGTGTGTTACATTTTTAACTGTATTGATTGGGCTTGGCCCTATGTAAGCCGCCCCAAGTTCCTTCAGGGAGATGGAGGCAGGGTACAAAAAATAAAGTTATTATTATTATTTGCAAAGAAATAAAGAAAAAGTTGCAGGGAAGAGACAGAGACAAGGGATGCTGGGATGGGCTGCCTGAGGCCAGAGCCACCTGAGGAGAAGGTAATGTTTAATCGGCGTGAAGGGATGCAACAAGCTGCCATCTCTCTTTCTCTTCTCCTGAGGAGCCTGGCTTTTCCAGGGCCCTGATTCCCAAGAAGGAAGGGAGGGAGGAAGGAAGGAAGCCAAGAGAGGGAGAAAGGAATGAAACAAGGGAGGGAGGCTTGGAGAGAGAGGGCCAGGGGAAATTTGAACAGAGGCTGCAATTGGCCCCGGGCCAGATTTGGCCATGCCCACCTTAGATGATAAAAAATAAGGTAAAAGAACTATGGAATTAATGTGTAAAATTGACTATGTGTAAATCACTCATGTTCAAATGGCAAAAATATATATATACTGAGATATGTAGCAGTCAGTTGTACAAAATAGTTATTACAAAGACAGTAAATCAAATAGTTGGCCTTGTGTGATTTTCATTTTCAATTTTGATATAATTTTTAAAAGAACTTTTGCAGAAACCCCTATGATGATTTTATGGAAACCTAGGAAATTGAGTTTGAAAACTGTCCTGTGCTTTCTGTGGCGGTCTTGTGTTTAATTAACCCAGAATTGAATTTTGCCACTACTTTTCCTTCCACAACAATTGCAGAAGACACTTGGGTGAAGTGCTTCATTTTTGTGCATTTGTTTTCTTCTACCAGAAAGGAGATCGGGTTTTTACCCTTGGTACAGTTACTGGTGGTTACGCTGAATTTACTGTTGCAGCAGCTGATACAGTCTTTCCCTTGTCTGCTAAACTGAACTTCAAGCAAGGTGCTGCAATCGGAGTTCCTTATTTTACAGCATATCATGCTCTGTTTCAAAGGTAAGATGCCATCCTAAAATAGCCTTTAACCAATACAATATTTTTTTTGTTTCGTCACCATTTTTTCCTTTCTATAATAATGTCAAAATTATTCTGTGTTTTTTCAGAGAAGTCACCAAACCAGGAGAAACTCTGCTAATCCATGGAGCAAGTGGAGGGGCAAGTATCATGAAAAACCATCCTTTGCTTTTAAAAGGACTTATTCCAGATTTAATGCTTTAAATACTGAGAGGAAGCATGGCCCAGGGACCTGATGGTTTGCTCTGATCACAATGTTTTTTATTTGCATGACAAAGGAATGTTGAAAAACCAAACCAGAGGTTTTCTGAAAACTGATTACATCCTTGAATAAAACTTAAGTTAAATTGCACAGCTTAATGACAGTTATTGTTTTTATTAATGTTCCTGTAAGCATCGTGGTGAGGTTTAAAATCTGCCTGTATTTTGCCAAGATCAGTGCTTCTTAAACTGTGGGCCCCAACCATAAACGGGCTCCCTTTATTTAGCTCAGTGGTTCCTAACCTGTGGTCTGTGGACCACCTGTGGTCCACAAGAACTAAAATATGGTCCGTGGCCTCACTGTTACTACACTGTTGCAACAAGAGTGACTAGTCTCACAAAACCTTCAAATAGTGCCAAGGCTTATTAAATACGGTTTTCTGTGGGTGAGCAGATGGCAACTACTGGATGGCATATGTTCTGTATCAGAAACTAGAGCTGATATGGTCTAGTCAATGCAATATTCTGAATCAGCACCCTAAATAACCAAACCGAATCTAGTTGATGAAAAACTTTGGTACTAATGTTGGAGAGTGGTCCCTGGTCAACAAAAAGTTGGGAGCCACTACTTTAGCTCAATATTATTGTTGTTGTTATTCGTTCAGTCACTTCTGACTCTTTGTGACTGCATGGACCAGCCCACGCCAGAGCTCCCTGTCAGCCATCACCCAGCTCCTTCAAGGTCAAGCCAGTCACTTCAAGGATACCATCCATCCATCTTGCCCTTGGTCAATATTGGGGTCACAAAAATTTCACAAGAGTAAAAGGTTTCTGAATGCTACCTATTTACACAAATCTGTTTGCAACAATGTGCAGTGTTTACAATGAACTCTGCAGAAAATGCTTCCGCTGTACTCCACAGTGTGTTTAACAAGCCCCACAAATGCTGAGTTATTATCAATAACGTACCTATTTCATATATCTATATACCCAGGATCACCTACAACTTTTCTGGGTGACAGGGGGTCCTGAGTGGAAAAACTTTTAGAAGCCTTGGCCTAGATTAAATCCACTAGGCCACATAGGCTAGCTATGCAAATATCAAGGCTCTTCATGTGACCTCCTTATGATCATGAAAGGCATATGAGAACTCAATACTGTGTTTTGTGGTTGCTGTAGGTAAAATCACGGGACTCCTGCTCTGTAGTTGCAATTGTGCCCAAGGCCTAGCAGATGGTTTATCCTTCTTTCTCCCAAATGCAGTTAGTTTTTTTGGCATTTACATGTATTTACTGAACTGGAAGATTTCACTGCTATTAAACCTCCTTTGTGTATAAAGCTTGCTATTGACTGTATTGGCAATTTTTAGGAAAGGCTTTTTGAGCATTCTCTTCAAAGTTAGTGAGCTCATTCTACAGAGTTCCTCTAATACAGGTGTCCCGGCATTTGTCATCATGTCCTAGTGCTGGCTAGAACTGCTAGAAGTTTTACTTGGTTGTGCACATTTATATATTCCAACAGGCTGGGTCATCTGTGGGCTGCCCATGCCTGTAGCAATACATAAATGTGCACAACCAAGCGGTCATCTATGGGCTGCCTTTAAATGTGGCCCTCAAGTATGGTGTTCACAGGAAATTGCTTATACCTGTCTTGAGAATTTCAAGACTGGATTAATGAATGCAGTGATTGAGCTACTCGCAGAAATTATTTGGGAAATATGTATATATGGTTGGAAGGTTTCATTATTATTTTCCCTAATTTTGTTCGCATATTTCTTTGCACAACAGCAAAGATTTTAAATCTTACAGGAACAGCCAAGACCTGTGGTTGTGTGCATGGTCGTGATGAAAGGGCACTCTCTCTGTCTTGGCTTTCCATGATATTTCTCCTTGACATGTAATTTTCTAATTAAGTCAGCGCGGGAGGACCTGTTATTGTGGGTCCACCTTGTAAATACCTTGTAAATACGGTACTCCACCAAGAGAACACTTTTGGCATCTTCCACAAACTGATAGCATAACCTTGCCTGCAATGAAGTTTGCATTGCTGACTTTGTAATTTGGTTTTTGGGTCAAAATGGTGGAGCCATGATTCATCGATAGTCACATATCTATTAAGGAATTTCTGTATGTCCATCTGAAAAGTTGTAAATGTTGCCACTGCCATGCTAATATTCACACAACATTCTTCCACATTTAAATTCCTGACACCCTTGTTTTTTCCCTTTATCCCTAATAAAAAATCCTGACATCATCTTTTCACAATATCATATGACACTGCATATTCAACCAAAGTTTTCAATATATCATTCTGGATATCTGTAGGAGTCATCCCCTTCGTTTGTAGGTACTTAATCACCGCTCTCTGTGACAGGATCCATTCTCCTACTGAGTCACTACTTCTACTCCTTCACAAACCCATAATGAAAAAACAACTTGTACAAATGTGTAATTTTGTGTGCACACTACATAGACATTGTTCATTATTACTGCTCAAAATCAAAATCATGGCACAATTCTAAGTGGGTCTAGAGTGGAGCATATAGATCAGTCATCATATTTTGCAATTTTAGAAAAGGATGCTCAGCCTGTATGCCATTTTAACATACTGCTGCTGGAAATGGCAACACATTATTTGTTGACTCTTCTTGTCTTTGATTTCTTCTTTATCTCAACTTTCTTAGGTTGGAATGGCAGCATGCCAGATTGCAAGAGCTCATGGCATGACTGTCTTGGGTACAGCTGGTTCTGAAGCAGGAATGAACCAGATTTTAAAAAATGGAGCTCATTGTGTTTTTAATCACAGAAAGAGGGCTTACTTGTACCAAATTAAGGTAATTTGGTCTCAAATCCAATTGTTAGTCCCATATAGAATAGATCTGTGTAATTACTGTTGACTTATTAAACTGCACTGGTTTAAGAGGTCTACTCTCTGGCTTGCACTAAGAATTCAATGTTAAGTCTTAAAATGCAAGCCCATGTGTCTCTTCAGAAATCAGTTTCATTTAATTACGTTTACTCACAAATATGTATGTCTAGGTTGCCACTTTATGGTATAATTCCCAGCAAATTTGTTTGGAGCATTTTCCAACAGACTTTAGTAGACCTTATTCAGGGTAAATAGGGATAGCATTTGAGCTATAACATAGTATTTCGGAACTTTCATTTAATATTCAGAACTCCTTTCAATTCAGTGATAGCCTCATTTTTACTGTTTTTGTTATCTAATTCAAACAAATTTACCCTTTCTCTGTGAAATCATTATTATTTTGTCTGCAACAATACACCACAGTGAACACTTTTAGATTTTCCTAACTCAGGCTGAAGTTCATGGGAAGTTAGCTTAGCCTCAAGACTAAGTTGTTTGAAGGACTGTATTTTCTTTTATGAACCTGCTTGGAGATCTCTTGGGGAAGCCTATTTCTGTGTCCACTTTTAAAGGTACATTACGTGAGAAACTGCTGCATATTTTCTTTACACACATGTGATAACCTGTCTGTTTCAACAAGCAATTGAGGACTTATTGTACCAGGCATATTCCTGTCTTAACAATATGCTGGATTTTTAGATTTGTTATTATGCTATGAATTATAAAATATATCAAATTGCCTCAGCACTATTCATTTATATGGCAGGAAGCAACTGGTACCCAAAATATAGATGTGATATTAGAGATGCTGGCTAATGTCAACCTTTCTGAAGACCTGAAACTGCTGTCAAAAGGAGGAAGAGTGATGGTATGCACCCACTTCAACAGCTTAAGGAGAATCTTACAGTAAACACCATTCTTACATAATCAGTTTGCTTCTGATTTTTGTGATGCTAGGTTCAATCTAGCAGGGGGTCTTCTGTTTGGAAGCTTTTGTCTTTCTCTGAAATTGAGAGAGTGCGACGTCCGGAAGGTCACGGTGGTTTTCATGACTGAACAGGGTTTTGAACTCTGGTCTCCAGAGTCATAGGCCAATGCTCAAAGCATTATATGGCTACGAGAAACTTAGATTTTAGAATCTCCTTTTCCCCATCTCTTTTGTGACAGATTGTGGGTTGTCGAGGACTTATCGAGATAAATCCTAATGATATGATGATGAAAGAATCAATTATCAGAGGAATTTCATTCATCACTTCATCTAAGGTAAATAAAGGAAAGGATGAAATGTGTTTATATCATTTTAAAAGAAAAAGCAACATGGTGTTTTTGTTATAGAGCCTTTTTCATAACCATAGTTCTCCATGCATTATAGCAAGAGATGCACAATATATGGGTCACTTGTGGCTCCTCACCTTTTAAGGTGCTCTTCCAGCCACTTTCCCCACAACCCAGATGATCAAGATCTTCCAGTTCATCCCAGTGAAGCCACTGCTTTTCCACCACAGCAGCAGAAAATGTCATCTCCTTGGAGAAGGGAAGAGAATGCTCTATTTGATCTCTAGATCCTAGATATGAGGAGGCTTAAGGCCCTAGCCCACTATATGGTGTAGGAACAACAAAGACGTACACATATACAAGTGTCCCTGCACATTCCCAGGCAACAGTCTTGGTCTAAGGCACAATTTTATTCAAGGGTCTTCTGACTTCTGTTATTATTGTCTAGGGTTACAAAAGTAACATTCTGCTATACTGTAATTATGAGATTTTTTTCTGTTTTTTATTTACTCTAGCCACCCTTTCCTTCAGAGGGAGGGTGAGCTTGTGAGATAGTAGACTAGTATATTGAAAGAGACAGAAGTGAGAGAGAGGGACCTAGAGGAAATGGTGCTGAGGCATTAGTTGATTTATCATTCCCACTACAGCTTTTTGCCGTATCTGTGGGACCTTCCACATAGCCTTATATCCCAGAATATCAAGGCAGAAAATCTGAGTGTGGATTCAGATAACCCAATTCAAAGCAGACATTGTGGGATTTCCTGCCTTGATATTCTGGCATATAGGGCTGTTGGGAAGGGCCATGAGTTTTTCCTCAGGTCCCAAGAATGGTTTTTCAAGGGATTTCTTTGTTCAGTGGGCAGAGAAGACCTGCCCACCGGAGGAATCCTCAAGGAGATTTCTGACTTAAGTGCCCACTTTTCAGAATCTAACCCTACCTTTTCTGCTGTGTAACTCAGCAAAATTGATTTATTAACATAAGCTACTATATACTGAGCCAGATCAGTGTTTCTTCTAGTTCAGTCCCATTGACACTGATTGCCAGAAGCTCTTCTGAATTTCAGGTAGGATTCTTCCCTAACCCTAGTTACCCAGAGATGGAAACTGGAACCTTCTCCATTTATCTTTGGAGGGAATAGAATGGATTTTTAAAAATGTAATGATTGATTTTCCTTTCTTTAGGAGGAGATGAATGCATGTGCTGCAGCAATTCTTGCAGGTATAGAAGCAGGTTGGCTAAAACCAGCTGTTGGCCATGAATACCCGCTGGCAAAAGCAGCAGAGGCACACAAAGAAATGGCTGAGGGCCCAGGTTCTTTGGGGAAGAGGGTGATTGTTATATGTTAAAATATGTTGTTAAGTGCATTGGAAGTAATAATAGATATGTTGATTATAATCCTTGTTCATTACACTTAGGACTGCTACGCGAACTGTAATTTAGATATAAGACTATTTTGAATAAGATTTATTAAATATTTTATATCTAAAATTATCAGATGTTTTTCATGTTTTGCTTGAAGACCATACTGTTCATCATTCTAAGAATTGCTTTTTTCTCATATACCATATATCCTACTTTCTCCTCCATGAAAATCTAACTAGTGCATCATACTGATGAATTTGCATTTGCGGACCCCCGAATTTGGTCCCAGAAAGGTTTTCATAATTGGTTTATAGTATTTTAATCATCTTTGTTAAATGTACACATTTACATAGGGTATAGTTTCAGTGCTTTTGGGAGCAATTGAAGTTTTACTTATGTTGCCTAGATTTTTAAAAATGTAACAGCTTTGAAAAAGTTTTTTCACAATTGCCACCAAAAGGGCTGCAATGAAAAGGGCAGTGGTAGTCCCAAAATGGATATCATGAGAAAATGAACAATCTCTTTTTACTAAGTGCAACAAAACATTTGTTTAACAGCAAGCAAACTACTGAAGCTGAAAAATGATTTTTAAAAGTATCGCTATTAAAATGAAGTGATGGGCTGCATAGCTTCAATAAAGGATTTATAAAACTACCACATTTTCACTGATATGAAAAGTTCATTTTAGTAGGGACTAACACCAGAGCCAAGGATTTAGGCCTATAAACTTAAAACAAAGCCATTACAAAGCAAGGAGAGGCAGGTAATAAAATAATAATTACTTTAAATCTAATCTTCTGCTCCAAGCTGTCGGCAATTTGACAACATTTTCCCAAAACACTGACTAGTAAATCGGATTAGGACATCTGAGGGCCCTTCCACACAGCCCTATATCCCAGAATATCAAGGCAGGAAATCCCACATTATCTGAGTGAGAACTCAGATAATCCAGTTCAAAGCAGATATTGTGGGATTTTCTGCCTTGATATTCTGGGATATAGGGCTGTGTGGAAGGGCCCTGAAGCTGATGACTGTTTCCATTAGGAAGATGGTAGCCAATTTATAATCCACAATATCTGCTTTGGTATACTGGGTTATTTGAGTCCACACTGCCATATAACCCAGTTCAAAGCAGATGATGTGGGATTTTATACAGCTGTGTGGAAGGGGCCTCAGATAAGCTAGTTCAAAACAGATATTGTGGATTTTCTGCCTTGATATTCTGGGTTATATGGCCGTGTGAAAGGACCCACAGAATCCTAGAGTTGGAAGGGAACCTCAAAGGCAATCCAGTCCAATCCCCTTTTACCAGACAGAAAGGCACAACCAAAATCCTCCCGAAAGATAGCTGTCCAGTCTCCGCTCAAAAACCTCCAGAGGCCTCGTCAGACACCAGCCATTTCCACACAGATTAATATAATCCTACATTTTTTGCTTTGCACTGGAATATATGGCAGTGTGGACTCAGATAACCTCCTTCAAAGCAGATATTGTGGGATTTTCTGCCTTGATATTCTGGGTTATATGACTGTGTGGAAGGGACCTGGGGAAGTGTACAACTGTTGTAACGACTGCATATATATTGTCAAATCATGCATTGCTTTACGATGCTGTTCTGTCTCTTTTTATGATTTTCCATAGCCCCTGAAGGCCTTTTAGCACAGTGTGAATAGCAGTCAAGATGTGAAACCATAGTACTACAGTCCAAATTTCAGAAGCTTCTTTCACTGGGTTGTTGTAGGTTTTTTCGGGCTATATGGCCATGTTCTAGAGGCATTCTTTCCTGACCTTTCGCCTGCATTTATGGCAAGCATCCTCAGAGGCTGTGAGGTGAAATACAAAAGAAAAACACTTTAAATAAAAATGAACATAAAACCACAAAGCTGTTTTTATAATAAATAATATATATGTTTTTTTATATATATGTTTTTATAATAAATAATAATAAAACCATATTACATTAAGTTTGTCTTTATTTGCTTTTATTTACTATATTTCAATATTAATATCAAGGGCCCCCCGGTGGCGCAGTGGGTTAAATCTCTGTGCCGGCAGGACTGAAGACCGACAGGTCACAGGTTCGAATCCGGGGAGAGGTGGATGAGCTCCCTCTATCAGCTCCAGCTCCTCATGCAGGGACACGAGAGAAGCCTCCCACAAGGATGGTAAAAACATCAAATCATCCGGGCGTCCCCTGGGCAACGTCCTTGCAGATGGCCAATTCTCTCACAACAGGAGCGACTTGCAGTTTCTCAGGTCACTCCTGACACGACCAAAAATAATAATAATAATAATAATAATAATAATATCAAGTCAATACAGAGTTTATGGTATGGTGTAGTATGGAATATAGGCAGCCCCCAAGTTACAAAGAAGATAGGTTCTGTAGGATTGTTCTTCAGCTGAATTTGTTTGTAAGTCGAAACAGGTACATTTTTAAAGTGTAACTCCATTTGAAAAGTCTTTAAAAGGTGCCTTTTAAAGGTTGTTCAGGTTCTCTTTAGAATTGTTCAGAGCCTGTTTTTCGCATTTCGACAATACATCTTCTTTCACATTTAGAACAAGGTGAAACACAACCATTCAGCAAAAAACACTAGAGCCAGGGCAGAGGACGGAAGTGGAGCCTGGGAAAACGAAGCCCTCTTCCCGCGCCTGCGCACTAAAAAGAGGAAGCCTGGTGCTCAGGCGCGTGGCAGTTCTCGCGCGAGTAGGCGTGGCTTGAGCTCCCCTGAGGGACGGATGTCAGTGAGGGGAAAGTGTCGACCGGAGGAAGTTGCACTTCCGGATGGTGAGCATAGAAGGGTCGTGGATGGCGGGAAAGGGAAACACGGGGGAGTGTGAGGTCAGCAAGAAGCCCCTCCCTCCAGAAGGAGCAAAAGTCCTACTTCACCCCTGTCTGCTGTAGATAGGAAGGAAAGGATGAGGACAGATTGGCCATCCGTGTGTGTAGGAGTTAGAACCATAGAGTTAGAAGAGACTTCATGGGCCATCCAGTCCAACCCCCTGCCAAGAAGCAGGAAAATTGCACCCCCGACAGATGCCCATCCAGCCTTTGTTTAAAAGCTTCCAAAGAAGCTTGAAGCCATTGTTCCGCATCCTAGTCTCCAGGGCAGCAGAAAACAAGCTTGCTCCCTCCTCCTTATGACTTCCTCTCACATACTTATACATGGCTATCATTTCTCTCATCCTTCTCTTCTTCAGGCCCAGCTCTTTAAGCCGCTCCTCATAGGGCTTGTTCTCCAGACCCTTTATCATTTGAGTCGCCTTTCTCTGGACACATTCCAGCTTGTCAATATCTCTCTTCAATTGTGGTGCCCAGAATTGGACACAATATTCCAGGTGTGGTCTAACCAAGGCAGAATAGAAGATCTAGACCAGGGGTCCTCAAACTAAGGCCCAGAGGCCCTCCAAGGTCATTTACCCGGCCCTCGCTCAGGGTCAACCTAAGTCTGAAACGACTTGAAAGCACACAACAACAACAATCTTATCTCATCAGCTAAAAGCAGGCCCACACTTCCCATTGAAATATTAATATGTTTATATTTGTTCTTAATTTTAATTATTGTATTGTTTTTAATGGTTTTTTTGTACTACAAAGAAGATATGTGCAGTGTGCATAGGAATTCATTCATGTTATTTTCAAATTATAATCCGGCCCTCCGACAGTTTGAGGGAGTGTGACCTGGCCCTCTGTTTAAAAGGTTTGGGGACCCCTGATCTAGACACTATGCTCCTATTGGTGCAGGCCAAAGTCCCATCGGCTTTTTTAGCCGCTGCATCACATTGTTGGCTCATGTTTAACTTTTTGTCCACAAGGACCCCAAGATCTTTTTCACACATACGGCTCTTGAGCCACGCGTCCCCCATTCTGTATCTTTGCATTTCATTTTTTCTACCTAAGTGGAGAATCTTGCATTTGTCACTGTTGAACTTCATTTTGTTAGTTTTGGCCCATCTCTCTAACCCGTTAAGATCGTTTTGAATTCTGCTCCTGTCCTCTGGAGTGTTGGTTATCCCTTTCAATTTGGTGTCATCTACAAACTTGATGATCATGCCTTTTAACCAGTTAGGGTTATCTGTGTTTACATAATAATGTACATAATGAGGTATCTTGGAGCCTAAGTGCAAAAGACACTTCTGTGTCACACACACGTTGCACACATAGCCTGAAGACAGTTTTATATGCACCATTTTAATTATATGGTTTTGTGCATGAAACCAAGGTTGTGTGTGCTTAACCGCATTGTGGGCCATATGTATCCTGTCAGCATTAGTATTGGTATTTGCACAGTTTATGCCTTGCTAAAACTGAGACTATCCTGAACTCACAAGGGAATAAGAAACAGATCTCCAGAATTAGACTTCTGGCATAGGGTAACCAATGACTTCAGCACCTGAGGTTTTAAAAAAACTAAGGCCCATACAAAGCAGGTGAACATAGCATTGAATGGAACATGCAGAGTAATCGCAGGATGTCTTAAACCTACACCTGTTGATAAACTCTACAAGCTAAGCTGTCATTGCCCCCCCTCCCCTGCCGATATGTGACAGGAAGTTGCTACTAAATGTGAGAGAAATAAGGTTGAACACTGTGAAAGCCATCCAATACATGGCTACCAGCCTCCTCCAAGTAGACTCAAATCAAGTAAAAGCTTTATGAGAACTACCACTCCTCTTGGCATTTCTCCAGCAACAGCAAGGGTATCCCTCTGGGCAGCTTGACCAGGAAATCCCAACTGGATGGCCCCCCACGAGGGTCTTCCTCCAGGGGCAAACCAAGAATGAGCAACTTGGAGGTCCCTGAACAGACTCAGAAGTGGAGTGGGCAGATCAAAAGGCAACCTGGCAAAATGGCACTACCTAAAGAATCCCACACCTTATGTGACTGTGGAGCAGAACAGACAACACCACATCTGTATGCTTATCCACTATGCCCTGCCTCATGTACAGAGGAAGAATTGTTGGAGGCTACAGACAATGCCATTGCTGTTGCCCAGTTTTGGTCAAAAGATATTTAGCCACCTGTGCTCCTTCTATTTTTATCAGTTTTATACTAATTTATGCAATGCTTTTGATATGAAATAATAATAATAAGCACCTGAGGTTACTTACCTTTGTATTTGGACATTGCTGACACATGAACTAACAGAATTCAGTAGGTCTTAATAGGACCGCTTTCCAGCCACTGGCCATTCCAGCTGCTGGATTCAGGGACATGTAGTGCATAAAAGCTAACTGAGCCTAGTATATTTTCTTAATATCTGTTAGGAAAAAATAGGCTGTGCTTCTTATTTCAAGCTGGCCAATTTCTTAGTGCTATTAATTCACACTTCATATCTCAGTACACTCCGATCACACACAAACAGCCATGTAACTGTTGTATATCTGTGACTTTAGTGTTAGTTCCAGTCCAATCTACACTGCCATATAATCCAGTTTCTGATCCCAAATTATCTACTTTGAATTGGATTATATTATTCGATTTATTTATACCTCACTTTATCTCCCCAAACTAGACTCAAAGTGGCTTGACATAAAAGCATTACCACAGAATTAAAAATATATAAATATACAAATATTAAGAAGAGAAATAAATACAAACAGCTGTAAAAAACATCAGTTAAACCAATCAAAACATATTCAGAGTTTTAAATCATCCTGACTAGATAACACCTTCATCTTTAAATGCCTGTTTGAATAAAAAGGGTTTAGTCTGCCGCTGGAAGGACAGCAGGGAGGGGGCCATTCTGACATCCTTGGGCAGGGAGTTCCAGAGTTGAGGGGCTGCCACCAAGAAGGAAGAGCTGCTCTCTCATTCCCACCAACTGGGCTTGAGATTGAGGTGGGATTGAGAGAAGGGCCTCTCCTGAAGATCTTGGGGCTTGGGCAGGTTCATACAGTGTAGACTCATATAATCCAGTTATTTGGCAGTATAGACTCAGGGCTCTTCCAGATAGGCCCTATATCCCAGGATCCGATCCCAGGTTTTCTGTTTATCCCAGAGTTTCTGGTAGTGGAGACTCATATAATCCAGTTTAAAGCAAAAAAACCTGGGATATAGGGTCTGTCTGGAAGGGCCCTCATATAATCCAGTTATATGGCAGTGTAGATCCAGCCTCCATCTATGTGTTGAAGCAGTAGCTTGAAGTACAACTAAGCACAAACTAATATAAATTAGCTTAGCTTTGGTGGCTGCAAGATGCAATGTGTTGCTATCAGCTCTTTTTAGATGGGAGATGTAAAACAGTGGAACATTCCAAAACGGTTTGTTCTTGTGACTTGGTCTCTGTTGAAATACTTCACCATTCTTTGTTTGTTTGCCCCAAACATGAGAATATATAGATGAAATACAGGAATTTCAGTGTTCTCAATGGCAAGGGTTCTATAAAATTCCCTATCTTCTGAACAACCCTGATGTATTCTTTTGTGACACTTGCAAATTTTATCCTTGAGATTAGTAACGTTTATGTTTTCTTTTTATCTGTGACTTCTTGTTGTTGTATATACCTGTGTTGTGATTTGTTGTTATATGCCAATAAAGGCAGTTTGTGTGCAGCTTAGTTTTAAAGGTAAAACTAGATTCCTTTTCTTCCCTATTTCCTAGTTAATTCTGTCCAAACATGAATCTTATGTCATTCATAAGTTTGAGTAAGTTCAAACTGATCCATATAGAAGTTTCACAGATTCTGTGGTATATAAAGATTTAAATATCTGCAGTTGTTAATATGCTGATGCTGCCAATAGCAATTATAGTGATGAATGAAATGAAAAGTTCAAAGATTCCATAAATGAAAACGAAGCATTTTATAGTCATCTAGCACTCCTGTTTTTACCCCAAGTGTTACTTTCTTCAGTATCCAATGCATCAGCATTACATTAGTAAGCCACCTTGACTTGCAGTTCTGGGAAAAACAATGCTACTATTAATAATAATTTCAGGTGGTGTTAGTGTTGTTAGCCTTAGGGTGGCTTCCTGGCATTAATGTATTAAGAGGTATTCTCCTGATATAAAATACAGTATGATTTCTCTACCTGCAGGACCAGTACCTTGGCTTTACCTGATCACATCTGACAACATATCTCTTTTCTTGGAATATTCCAGGTTCTCCAGGTGAGTCTCTTGTTTGCTTCCACCAGAAGTTTCCATAATTGGACTGGAACACCAAGCAAATTCCTAGAGGATAGCTATCTAGGAATTTTCTAGTTCCTTGTGGGAAATTCTATAGTAACTTCCAGGAGAATAATGTTTGCTGTAATTCACAGTTTCCCATTTCCATGGTAAATTCAGGAATATATCAGCTGCAGATATGTTATTCATTAATACAAGCTTTGGAGAGAAAAAATCTAGCCTTGATCATCATTGATCCATATGAGCCTAGTACTTAGCCCTGCTTACAAGTCAGGAGCTATTGAAAAATCTACCTAGAAAAATACAGTATATTTTAAACTTTCTGCCAGTTGTGTCACATTAGGACTGAACTAGAAGGAGTATTGGGAAATTTTGATTTCCAGTTTTCAGGTTGTATGAATTACTTGTAGCTGCCTTTAAGATTAGCATATCAGTAGTATTGGGGGAATACAACTGATAATATATGTGGGAAAGTAGTTAAACTTTCTGTTCTCCTCTTCTGGAAGGCATTATAATTTGTGAGGATGGAGGCGAGAGTACACGTTTTCCTCATATTGTGAGGAATCATGTTTTCTCATATTGTGGTCAGTGAAACTTGATTCTCCTTTTTTTCACCCATATAATCATGGAATGTCTGAGGAATTTGCATTAATATGACTGAGAATATACTTGGAAAATAATATTTATTAATAATTAACATGTTCTATGTAACTATTCAACCTGTAGTTATGCTGCAGAAATATTGGTATCTTTTGTTTCAAAAGCAAAAAGAGGAGGAATCAAAATATTTTGTGTGCCATATTGGCTTCCAGCATTTACTGACCTTTTTGTCCATGGATTTGAAAATTTACTGATTTTTTAAAATCAAATTTTCTTTATTCTAGAGTCATAAAACTTTTGAAAAGCAAGATGGACAAATCATTTTTAGGAACATCCTTAAAAAGCATTAATATTTCTGAACATGTGGCAGAGAAATAATGTCTATGCTGCTGCGTTTGTTTATATTTATTTGATCCATTTCTTTGTCACATTGGTGATGGTTGTTCTTTTTTGTAGGCTAAGAATTTCATAGAATGAAAATCAAAAGGTGATATGTTGCACAACAAAATTAAATAGATAAGGAAATGTTAAAAATTTAGTGGAAGAACAAATAGTTTAATAGTTTCTTTTGAAAGACAGTGTGATTAAGAATATTGTGTTTTATTTCTGATGTGCTAGGCTGCCATGGAAAAAGTTAAAAATGTGATGAGAGCTGTCAGGGTGTTTGAATTTGGTGGTCCTGAAGTGCTTAAGGTGAAGACAGATGTTCCATTGCCAGTTCCAAATAATGATCAGGTAAAAATACACTGAAATAGAAATATTTTTGAAAAAATAGAATAATTTTATCACTAAAAATCCCTGCAAATTATCATCAATAAAATGGGTGCAATTACAGCTAAATGGGATAACATCAACACAATGTGTCAGCAATAAATGTGGACTCCCAGCCTATGGATTTTTTGTTGCTGTGGGAGGAAATACAAAATGGTATATTAAAAAGTCCTCTATTCTACGTCTAGCCATTTATCAAATGCCATTTTATTCTATAGGTACTCATTAAAGTTAATGCATGTGGCGTTAACCCAGTGGACATCTATATTCGCTCTGGGACGTACAAGAGAAAACCAACTTTGCCATACACACCTGGTGAAGATGTATCTGGCATAGTACATGCAGTTGGGAAAAATGTAACTTCTTTCAAGGTATTTGATTTTAAACTATTTTCTCACTTTTAATCTCTTTCATATTATGAGTTAAGATCTAATAACTTCAATGCGTTAATTGTGATTAAAAAACCACAATTTCCTCTTCTGTGATATGAAGTCCTCTTTTGCAATTCTGACATTCTTCTCTGCCTATGAATGACTAAGCAAAGTTTGGTTCTTCATTGCACCCTGTACTTCATTGCACATGCTTCATTAAACAGATGCAGTTTGATAGCATGTAATCGTAGATACTAAAGTTATTTCAAGTCCAGGTACATTTTCTTTGGAAAATATTTAAACATTAACATTTAATCTGTTTGCTTTAGTTTTGGTAGTTATCTAGCTATTACCTATCCAAAGTCCATATTGTGGTAGGTTGTTTATTTATTATTTCTGATGCAATGCTATCACTGGCAGCTTGGCATTTCCTTACAATTTCTGTCTGGGGGAAAATATTTGTTATTGCTACTTGGTCTGGTTTTATAAATGATTGAAAGGGGCTATTTATTTATCTTCCCAACATAGTTGCGTAGCTAATGAAAATGAAATCCCTGTAAGTGAACTTCAGGGTAGAAGTTCCAATTGTACCATCATGTTTCAAAGGTCCTGCACTTTCATGGGCTGTACCCAACGGTGTTATTCTGCTAATGTGAAGATTGCTTCATGCAGTCTTTAGGAGTGCCCTGTTCTTTTTCTTTCCCTTTTGCCCGACATTCAGGAGAGTTCACCAACTATAACACATCTGGAGGAAAAGAGGGGAGGGGGAAATTCTCCACTGCTATAAAACAAAGAAGATGAACCTGCAATTCCAAGTTTTACAGTTTTGTGCCAAGTACACTAGAATCCCTGCCCCCCCCCCAAAAAAAACCCCCCAACAAATACCCCAAACCTTGATTTTGTCATTTTATATAATGAAATTGGATCATCCACTGATTTTGGTAGCTATGATGGGTTCTGGAGCCAAACCCCAGTGAGGCCACTCTATCTGCACTGTGAAAGTAGCACAAATAGGTTGCGTTCCAGATGGCAAGAACTACTTCAGATGTTTCCTATAACTTTGGAAAGCACAATGAAATGCTGTGCTTCAGAAAATTGCATTTTGATCTGCCATTCTCTTGCCATCCCTGGCATTACTTGATATAGCTAGCAAAATGCTTCTTATCATGCTTGTTTCACCTGCATTTCAGAGCTTGCTAGATTGTTTTCACACGAAAATTGCAGAGAACATTTTAGCACAAGGCTTCACTTTGTGCATTTGTTTTCTTCCACTAGAAAGGAGACCGGGTTTTTACTCTTGACACTGATTCTGGCGGTTATGCTGAATATACTGTTGCAGCTGTTGACTCAGTCTTTCCCTTGTCTGATAAACTGGACTTCAAGCAAGGTGCTGCAATTGGAATTCCATATTTTACAGCATACCATGCTCTGTTTCAAAAGTAAGACATCATCCTAAGATGGCTTTGGAGCAGATACTCCAAATACAGATGCTTAATTCTTTCTACTAAATACACACATGAGTTATAAGGTGTAGAAGTCCTGGATAGTTAGATTAATCCAGGGACCAGAACATTTCAGTTTCAGATAGCTTGTTATTTTTGATGCAGTACTAACACTAAATACTCCTGCTTGGGGGGATTTGGAGTCATTTGCCATAGCCATAGAGAAGCAGTAAGGACAGCTTTTGTCTTGATCAGAAAAAGGAAAAAATAGTTTAACTTGCAGGGCTTAGATAATGAGAATTTTAAAGGCTTCCAAAAGGTGAGCTTCTGTATATGAATGGCAGTATGCACTTCAGTGCTGTGATGGTCATTGGCACATTGTTTGCCTGCCTTTTTACTGTGCTCCTCCCAGTGCTGTCACTCAGGTGGCAACTTTCCCCCGTCCCTTCCACTCTCCATTCTCTGTGCTAGCATACAGCTCATCCAGAAAATCCTCTGGTCATATGCCAATAATTTCTGGAATTGCTGGAAAAAGGAGCAGGTGTGGAAATCCACTTCTGTGATCTCCCTCCTGCTGGCACAATAAATGGAACCATGATTGTGAATTTGTGATTACCATATTTAAGGATTTGTGTCTGGTGTTCCTATTTTGTGTCCACAACACAAAAAAGTTAACTAGCCTACAGCATCTACAGGCAGTCCATGGGTTACAACTATCCAGTTTACAAATGACTCATAGTTAAGAATAGGGGTGAGACAACAGGAAGTGAGAGAAATCGGCCCATAGGAAGGAAAATTCACTCCTGAAAAAGTTATCATGGGGAAAAGGTGTCTCCACTGGAGCTGTCTCACCAATTCTTGCTTCCACAACAAGCCAAATTTTTCAAAATCCAATTCTCACAGGGACAGAAAGTGAGGTGAAATCTGCTGAACAGGGACACAGACTGCAAAACAATCTCCACAAGGGTGTTAATATTTTTTAAAAAAACAAAACAAAACAAAATTATATTCCACCTTTCTCACTCTGAAGGGGACTCAAGGCAGAGCACAACATATATATGGCAAACATTCAATGTTGGAACATAAAATAAACTATATATATATGTAAACACTTAAAACCAGTAATCTCCACTTTAAAATCAATTGATTAAACCCGTCTCAAATCAGCCATACCGAAGCCATACTGAACAGATTCCTAATATTGCCTTATTGCAGTGTCCCAAAGACTTGGTCCCACAGCCAAGTTTTTACCATCGTTTTGAATGACGAGAGGAAGGCTGATCTAATCTCGCCAGGAAGGGAGTTTCATAGCCGAGGGGTGATCACTGAGGAGGCCTTCTCTCTCGTCCACGCCAGTCGTGTCTGTGATGGTGGAATTTTGCCTGAAGGGAGGCATTAACCACCACCTTTACCCACTCTGCTAACCCCCCCTGGCTTCCTTTATCAGCCAGGATGGGCCGGGGGCCAGGATGCATGTGGTTGCCCTCATGTCTCCAAGAATCTTGTCCATGTCCTCGGATTGCACCAATTGAAATGAATCCATTAAAACCAGACAAGCAAGTGCTCTCGCTACATCTCCAGAGACTGCAGTTACTGTGGCGTCCAGGTCGGAGTGAATCAGAGTGACTTTATCTGCAAAGAACCGAGCAAATGCCGCACAGTGAGCTGTCGAAGGGCCAGGGACCCCATCATGGGTGGTGGGGTTCAACAAATCCCTGACCATTTGAAACAGCTGAGCTGGATAGTTCCTTGCAGACACAATGTTGACCGCAGTGTGAGATTTATTTGTGGTCTTCACTGCTATGGAGTACACTCTTGCATAGGCACATGCCATTGCTCGGACTGACTCGTTGCGAGATGAGTGCTACATGCCCTCTAGACTCCTCTTTGTTAGCTTCATCGCTGCCAGCTCCTCGTTGAACCCAGGGTTGGTTTAGCTCTGCTATGTGAGAGGGGTCGCTCCAGAGCTATTGCGTTTATTGCCCTGGTTATTTCCCCATTATAGAGAGCGACCAGAGCATCAACACAATCACCTGCCTCGGTGGCAGGAAATTCCCTAAGAGCCATCAGGAAACCTTCTGGATCCATAAGCCTCCTGGGGTGGGCCATTTAATGGGTCCTCCACCCCTGCGTAGGATAGGGAGTGCAGTGAGTCTAAACTGGGCAGTGGGACTAAAGAGAGTTCCTCCACACTACCACCTTCCTCCCACCCCTGACAGAACACCAAGTCCAATGCATGTCCAGCTTTGTAAGTAGAGCCAGAAACTACTTAAGACAGCACCATGGTTGCCATGAAATCCTGAGCCACTCCCAACAGAGAGGTCTCTGCATGAACGTTGAAGTCTCCCACCACTATAAGCCATTGAGGCTCCAGTGCCAGGCTCAAGATCGCCCCGGCTAGCTCAGGCAGGGATATTATAGTGCTGCGGGGTGATCGGTACACTACAAGTATCGCTATTCTGTCCCGTTCTCCTACCCTTAGGTGCATGCATTTAACTGAGGGTGTCTGTGGTATGGGGCATCTGTTCAAGGAGATGGAATCCCTATAGACCACTGCAACCCCACTTCCTCCTTTGTAACTCTTTTCCCCTTTGGTACTGTTTTGGGCAGTAATGCTGAATTGCATCATTTGACAAAATCTTTTCCATGCACTTCAAGCAAGGTGCTGCAATTGGAAGTTTTCACTACAGGGTCTTTCAATAATTCTCCTTTTCTTTTAGTGTTTTGAGGTCACCTATTTTGTTTTATTAATTTGTCCCAATTTCTTTATGCAGTAAAAATGTGGACATTCAGTGGTACACTCCTGCTACTTCTTTTGTTTTGTGCTTAAATAAAAAGGAAATATTGATTGATTAACTGAAGACTTTCACACAAAACGTGTTCCATTTGTAGCACTCCTAGCAGGCTATTGATGTAACCATTGGGGATTACAGTGTCAGCTAATGGTGATGGGATATATATTCCAAAACTAAAAAATAACAGGTTCAGAATGCTGATTGTCCATTTTTCCTGCTATAATTCTCCTTATTGTATATTTGACATAATATTCCTGTAATTATAAATACATAAGAGATCTTCCATATGTGTATTGTGAATCATATAAATGTTGTTGCCATGAAGGAAACCCAGAATACATGGTGGCTGTTCATTTACCAGTAGTCCATTAACTAATAGTCCATTTTGACTGATGCCTTTAAAAAAAGAAAGAAATGAAACCATAACATTGTTGACTACATAGCATAGTATTTTTTCTTATTGACAGTATTCTTGTGTATCTTTTCAGAGGTTGTGCTAAGGCAGGAGAAACTGTGCTAGTCCATGGAGCAAGCGGAGGGGTAGGTATTGTGAAAAATCACTTTGTGGTTGTAAGGCAGATATGGGAATGTTTTGGCCAAGGAAGCAGTTCTAGAAATGGGACATGGTTACCTGGTTGCCTTCTGATTTGTTGTTTTGCAGGTGTTCCCCTCTCTGCAAATGGGAAAGCATGTAGCCTACAAAACAACAATATATGTGCTTAACTCGCAAAACTGCCTCAGAGTAGGTTACTTCATGGTGTATTACTATGTGAAAAAGACTTCAAAATTCACAGTAGTAAAAGTACAATTCTCATATTATAATTCAACTAAGGATATACTATTCACGAAATAAGTAACAAACATAAAGAAAAACATATAGAAACAACCAGTCTTAAATAAGTCCTGGAGCTGTGAAAGGTCTTGAGTCCAATACCAGTGGTAGTAAAAAAAATCCAGCTTCTAAAATAACGACTTCTATATTAAAGGAGATTCTTCATTAACTCGTAACACTAGGAACAGTAACACAACAAGGTCTCCCAGGTTGTTCTCCTTGTTTCGTTATACCTTATTTAGGTGTTATGCCAGTCTTGTCTATAATGCCTGAGTACACTAAATAAGAAATGAAGCAACATACAAACAATAGATATACTAAGGATATAGCCTGTCAAGGTGCCATGGAAAGGAGCACAAATGGTTCTCAGGCCTTAAAAGGTTGCCCACTCTGGTTATAGGGTATTGGAATCTAATCCTTGTATGGGGAAGAGTTATTTGTTTCTTGTGGCATTATGCTTTCTTGTAATCGCAGTTCTTTTAGAGTTTCAAATGTATGAAAAACTGGGGCATTTTTTTCCTACAGGAACCCATATTAAAATGCAATGCTTGGTAGAGATTATTGTTTCTGTTCTGTACTTGGAAGCGTGCCCCAGTGCACAATCCACACCTCCTTTTTTGAAAAGCTCTCTGGGTGTTTAAGCTAACAGACCATTGAGATCATCTTCATGGGGCTCTTATAGTCATGCAATTCATGAGAACATGTTTAGTAGAATTTGCTGTTCTTTGATGCACTATCATTCCAGTGATCATGAATTGTAGGAGATATGCTTTAAAACACTGGAGGACCAAGGGTTGCTCATCTCTGGCCCCATCTAAACTGCCATATAATGCAGTTTCAGAATGCAGATTAACTGCCATAAGGATTCAGGTGGACTTTACTAGAATTTTTTTCTGGCAGAGTTCCTATCTACATATTGTTTTTGCATTTCTTGTAATGGTTCAATATGTGGACCTTTAAATGTTTAATTGGTGCCAAGTGAGACCCTATTATGTAAGCACATTTTACAGCATTCTGTAATGGATGGAGGTGACTGTGTCCAAGTGAGACCACTGTGCTTAGAGAGAGCACTTCCTATGTTCAAAGTGTAATTCCTAAGCATGGCTTCAAGTCATGTTACTGAGATGTTGCTGATCATTCTTACCTTGGAAATTTGAAGACTGAATGGATGTATATGGTAATTGAGCTGATAGTAAAATCTCTCTATGAAGGGGAAACAGAAGTATGTACAGTTGGTTGGCTTAATTATTTATTTCCCTGATTTTGTTTCAGGGATGTTGTCTGCACAGTGACTAAGAGAAATAGTATATTGTTTTGTGTAGATGTATCAAGTAACAAGGACTTTAAAAACATTCAGCGCTACAGGGAAGTCAGCGATAGTTATTAAGGACAACAAAATATCTTGAAGATCAACAATTATATGTAGATGTATCGAGTAGCAAGGACTTTATAAACAAAGAGCTGAGGTGAAGTCAGTGAAAGTTATTAAGGGCAACAGAATATCTTGAAAACCAACAAGCCTTTGTGAATTGCACACGGTATCATCAGATATATGATACAGCTGGCCAGCAGTCCACAAAAGCTGTTCAAATATATCTTGTTAATCTTATATGTGTCATGAAATCGTTGGGGCTCTTTTGTTGTTTTTTACCAGGCTAACTCAGGTATGGGCAAATTTGGGCCAGCAGGCTGTTAGGAATTATGGGAGTTGAAGTCCAAAGCACCTGGAGGGCCCAAGTTTGCCTATGTGTGGGCTCACCCCACTGGAAATTAGAAAGGGCACTCTGTTAAGAGTTTTTGGAAATGTTTCATTCAGAAGGAGCCAGCAAAAAAAAAATCAAAATAATGTTGGAAGAAAATGATATTTTAATACACCTGTATTACAAATGTAAACACAGTGTTTGCTGAGTACATCTCTCTCTCACACACACACACAATTTTCTTAGGTTGGAATAGCAGCATGCCAGATTGCAAGAGCTTACGGCTTGAAGATCTTGGGCACAGCTGGAACTGAGGCAGGGATGAGCCTGGTTTTGAAAAGCGGAGCCCATGCTGTATTTAATCACAACAAGGAGAATTATATATCTGAGATTCAGGTAATTTGAGCACAACCTTATACTTCTCTCTCTGATTTCCAGGGTATAATTCTGCATTGTAACTTCAGGGTGATCTTGTGCATCTTTGCTCAGAAGTAAGTCCCATTGAGTGCAGTGGTGGTAATGACACTGAGATGCTGTATTCTCTTACTACTGGGATCTGTGAGCCCCATTGCTATTCTGTCAACTAGTTGTTGAAGACTTTTTTCCAGCATACTCTGACAGTTTAATTTTGCCACCTAGTCTTTTTCCGTTTTGTTTTTCAAATTATTTGCTTTTTTTTGTTTGTTTCTATGTTTGCTTTGTATCTGTTATAGTTTAGTTCTGTAATGTTTGTAAGCTGAGTAAAGAATGATACAGGATGGTGAAGATAAGAACAAAACATTGTGAATTTCAAAGATGAATTTCACTAGTTTTATAATTCTTAACAAGTAATGTATTTGTCATATAGGGAAGTCCTGCTGCCCAAAATATCAATATAATAATAGAGATGCTGGCTGATGTCAACCTTGACAATGATTTGAAACTGCTGTCAAGTGGAGGGAGAGTGATGGTAAGCATCCATCCCACATTTTAATGAGAATTTTGCTGTAATCTTCAGACATTTAGAATGCTATTTTCTCCATCTCTCTTGTGACAGATTGTGGGTTCTCGAGGAGCCATTCAGATAAATCCTAGGGAAACCATGGCTAAAGAAACAAGTATCAGAGGAGTTTCTTTATTCTCTGCAACTAAGGTAAAATGATAACCTTTTTGCTGTTTTAATCTGGTGATTTAGTTGCTATGGACAGAATCCTGTTGGGGATTTGCATCTGTATGAACACCATAATTGCAGTGAACACCCCAGCCCACACTTACTAGGAAGGAGCTGTTGTGGTTCACAGGGATCTGCTCCTTTGTGGATTGGAAAACAGCTGGCTGACAGTCCCCCTCCCTTCTGTGAACCATCTCCAGAGCAACAGGCTGAAATAGGACACCTGTTGCAAATTGCTTATTTTGTTTTGTTTTATTAATTTTATTTCTACCCCATTTTTCCCCATGGCGACTCATCACCTCACAATCATATGACACAACCTAATAAATTTAAAAACAGTAAATTAAAAAGTGATTTTTAATTTTTAAAAAACCCAACTAAATATTTGTGTTATGAATTCAAAATATAGTTAAGATACAGTAAAATACTCGTGCAATTAAAATTACATTTAAAAGTAAATATCCTCCCCAACTACCCTACAACCTCCCCAGAAGTATGCCCCTCATCATCACCTAAATTCCTGATTACAAAGAAATGTCTTAACTGGATGGGACCATCCTGGTCTGTCTTGGGAGGCAGTTCCACACTCTGGGAGCATCCACCAAAAAGACCAAATATGTTGGAGTGGGTGGTGTGGCAGACAAAAGTCCCTCCTGGGAGGATCATAGCTATCTGATAAGTTCGTAGAGAGAGATATGGTACTTTAAATAACCTGGACTAAGGTTTTATAGGTCAAAATCAGCAAGAGGGTATAGGACCATAGGAACAGGTGAACCAGACCCTTTTTACTTGCAGCTGATTCCCTGTAAATGCAGACCGATATTCCCTTTCTTTGTCTACTTAAAGGAAGGGTTACTTAGAGATTATGACTACAAAACAGTAATAACGTTCTAGGTTACGTACTCATAACTACACAACAGGATTCTGGCCTGCATTTCTGTCCTGTTTAAATTATACTGGTTTTGGACAAAATTATTTTAAAGCCTGAGGTCTCCTGATCGGGGACAGGAGAGAAATCATCGTGATTTCCAGCCTTCTGTAATACATCCATGTCTTTCCCCTGTCCTTAGGATTTCATTTTAATGGATTTGCAGGACTTCGGTTTTTTAGAAAAGGCATGAGAACCTTCATTGTCCATGCAGATTTCTGGTTGTAAAGCCCACATTTTTTTCTGTTGCATAGCATATAAATACAAATTTAGGAAGGTAGGAAATTGCCATATACTAAACCCAAGCATCTAATCCATTATTGCTAATGCTGACTCACAGCAGCCTTCTATAAGTATCATACGCTGGTTCAGGAAAAAAAAATTAGCACTGGCAGATACACATTCTTTGGGAAAGTGGGGTTGTAATTATTTAAAAAGTGGGTTGCGAGAGAGATGAGCCTGTGAGCATTTAAAAAAAGGCAATAGTGCCTACTTGAGGCTGCATGTGTTTTACCTCTACTTTGGAGTTTCAGGCAGAATCCTTACCTAGCCCTGTCTTGGTAAAACCTGGGACCGTCTACACACATTGCATATATTTAGAAACCGAACTCCTGACAGATGCCTCCTTGAAAGGGGCCAAAAGGTGTCCTTAAATGTTTGACTTAGAATCTGGGGCTTTGCTTTCCTTTGTTTAGGAGGAGATGAAGCAATGTGCAGCGGCTGTTCTTGCAGGCGCAGAAGTTGGCTGGCTGAAACCATTTGTGGGCCGTGAATATCCACTGGAGAAAGTGGCCCAGGCCCAGAAAGACATAATTCACAGTCAGGGTGCCATGGGCAAGATGGTGCTTGTTGTATGATTTTTTTTTCCATGTCAGGAGCGACTTGTTGTATGATAAATTACTGCCAATTTGCTTAACAACATAACCATAGACATGCTGATCTGTCTCTATCCTGTTGGTACTCTACGTCATATGATTTAGATGTACATTACAACAGATATAATGTAGTAAACTCATTAAGATGATACATTAAATATTTTAGATTTCAAATAATCTATTTTTGTATGTTTTTGACCATGTTGGCTCGGGCTGAATGGGAATTAGAGCCTAGCATCTGAAGACTCAGAGATTCCTGACTTGTTTGATGTATGTACTTTGTTTATTTCTGATTCATTGGTCTCATCTTTACACATAATAAAAGGGAAAATGTGTGTGTGTGTGTGTCTTGAGTGTCCACTAACACAGACAAGCTCCTGCCTCTACAAACAGCTATAGCTCCCACTAATGACATCAGTGGCCTTCCCTCCAATAACTTTGCAGGTTATATTGAGCGCCATGAACATGTACAAGAGCCTGCCAATGTCCTCCACAAACACAATACTGCCCACCACCCAAGTGAAAGCTTTCATACAGGGATAATTTCATCCTAGATTTTATATTTTTCCTCCACCACAGGCATCTCAGTGTTTCTTACTCTCTCCATTGGTGTGGAATTTGCATGACCCCACCCACCACCTCTCCCTTAACCCATTCCTATTCTTTTGTATGGCACACAGCAAACAGAGGAATTGATCAGCAACTGAACATACTAGAGAGGTTTGTGGAGAATTCGTCATGATTTATAGGAGTTGTAGGTACATCCAGAACGCACTATGAACCCAAACAATGATGGATTTGGATCAGACTTGGCACACATACCTGATATGCTGAAATTTGATTACTGGGGGAGTTTGGGTGGACCTGACCCTCCTTTCTGGGAGTTGTAGTTCACCCACAACCAGAGAAACTGTGACCTCCACTGATGATGGACCTGGACCAAACCTGACACACAGAACCCCCATGACTAACAACCTATTGGAGGGATTTGAGAGGACTAACTCACCATAGTGGAAGTTGTAGTTTACCCTATAGTCAGAGAGCACACTGAACCCCACAGATTATGCATCTGGAGCAAACTTGCCCAACATGACAAACTAAGTACTAATGGAGTTCTTCGGGGCTAACCTGGCATGATGAGAACTGTAATTCATCCATAGCCTTATGCATGTTGTACAATTTAAACATGGACTTTCTCAAATAACGCGGGCAATGCTGGGTACCCAAGCTAGTTACAAATAAAAGTTAATAACATATTCCCATTGGTTATAAATTTCTCTTGTGTTTGTGAAGGCATATAAAGGGTTACAAAGAGAGCGGGGAGAAAGAAGGCAAAAAAAAGTTTGGCATTCCTTTATGCTATGAATAAGGGAGTTTTATTCTTCCAAATGTTTTGAACATTAATTCTGGAGGCTTCAGTCAAATTTAAAGCATGGGATTTAAACTCTAAAACATCTGGATACGCAAGAGTTTTCTGCCTCTATGTGCACCATCTGTGCCCCTATAAGAATGATCACCCACAGAAAGTAGTGCTTTTGCAGTTGTTTCTCTTGAGCATTTACAGGCTTGTACTGCTCAGTCTTCACTGGAAGAATTAGCACCTTACAATTAGGTACATTTAACGGTCATCAGGGAAGTATCCACTTGTGTTCCTTCACTGAAAAAAACAGTGCCAAATGAAATTGGAAAGTTCTGTTCTGAAAAGTCCCCCAACTCCAAAGTTGTTCTAGTTTGTGTGAATCTGTCTCCTTGTTTCAGTGATAAGCACTAATTGTTTGTATAAGGATATGAAATGGATACTATTCTGAATACTTAGATGAGCAGATAGGAGGAAGGCCAGTGTGGTCTCTATCTTCCAGAAGGGAAAAAAGGATGACCCAAACAATTACCATCCGGTCAGCTTCATGTAGATACCAGGCAAGATTCTGGAAAAGGTAATTAAGGAAGTGGACTGCAAACACTTAGAAAGGAATGTGGTCATTGCTAATAGTCAACATGGATTTATCAAAAACAAGTCATGCCAGACTAATCTGATTTCTTTTTTCGATAAAGTTACAAGTTGGGTAGATGCAGGGAATGCCATGGATGTAGCATATCTGGATTTCAGTAAGGCCTTTGACAAGATCCCCCATGACCTAGCAAACAAACTAGTCAAATGTGGGCTAGGCAAAACTATGGTTAGATGGATCTGTAATTGGTTAAGCGAATGAACTCAGCTGGTGCTCACCAATGCTTCTTCATCCTGGAAAGAACTAACGAGGGGAGTGCCGCAGGGTTCCGTCCTGGTCCTGGTCCTGTTCAACCTCTTTATTAATGACTTAGATGAAAGGTTAGAAGGCATGATCATCAAGTTTGCAGACGACACCAAATTGGGAGGGAGAGCCAATACCCCAGAAGACAGGAGCAGAAATCAAAAATCTGAACCGATTAGCGAGATGAGCCAAAACTAACAAAATGAAGTTCAATGGGGACAAATGCAAGATACTCCACTTAGGCAGAAAAAATGAAATGCAAAGATACAGAATGGGGGATGTGTGGCTCGAGAGCAGTACGTGTGAAAACGATAGTGGAATCCTCGTGGACAACAAGTTAAACATGAGCCAACAATGTGATGCGGTGGCTAAAAAAGCCAATGGGATTTTGGCCTGCATCAATAGGAGTATAGTGTCTTGATCCAGGGAAGTCATGTTCCCCTTCTATTCTGCCTTGGTCAGACCACACCTGGAATCACACTGTGTCCAATTCTGAGCACCTCAATTCAAGGGAGATGTTGACTCTTAAGTCCAAAGGAGGGCGACTCATATGTTCAACGGTCTGGAGAACAAGCCCTATGAGGAGTGGCTGAAAGAGCTGGGCATGTTTAGCCTGCAGAAGAGATGGCTGAAAGGAGACATGATGAGGACCATGTATACAGATGTGAGGGGAAGTCATAGGGAGGGAGTAGGCTTGTTTTCTGCTGCCCTGGAGACTTGGACGCAAAGGAACAATGGCTTCAAACTACAGGAAAGGAGATTCCATCTAAACAGTAGGAAGAACTTAATTGTGAGAGAGAGCTTTTCAGCAGTGCAACTCTCTCTCTGCCTGGGTGTGTGATGGAGGCTCCTTCTTTGGAGGCTTTGAAACAGAAGCTGCATAGCCATCTGTCAGGGTGCTTTGAATGTGATTTTCCTGCTTGGCAGGACATTGGACTGAATGACCCACGAGGTCTCTTCCAACTCTGTGATTCTATGAGTTTCTTCAAAAAACAGGCTCACACAATGTTAAAGCTATGTGTAGCTCTGGGTTGTTGTAGGTTTTTCGGGCTGTATGGCCATGTTCTAGAAGCATTCTCTCCTGACGTTTCGCCTGCATTTATGGCAAGCATGCTCAGAAGTTATGATGTCGCAACCTCTGAGGATGCCTGCCATAGATGCAAGTGAAACGTCAGGAGAGACTGCTTCTAGAACATGGCCATATAGCCCAAAAAACCTACAACAACCCAGTGATTCCAGCCATGAAAGCCTTAGACAATACATATGTGTAGCTCTGTTTATTTACATTTAAATAGTATCCCCATTTGAGGACAAAATAATCAATTGTTTTGGCTTATTGCCTACCTCAAATTGCTCAAACTAATTGGACAGAAGTAGATAATATGAGAGCTAAAATGCAAGTTGTAAGCCCAATCAGCTTTCTGAACTTGGACATGTGTAGTTGCTAGAGGTCTCCCTGTACCAGATGGAGCATCTGTCGAGTGTTTTTATTGGACTGGATATCCAGTTGTAGCAAAATTATTAGAACACACACAACCTGTTTTATTATACCTATAGATCAAAGAGAGTATGAAAAAGGCTTCGGAAGCCACTCTAGTTCAAATTGAATTGCGACTAATTAATAAAATCTTACAGTTAGAAGAAACTGATGGGGACATCTGTAAATCATCTTTTCCTACAATTAGAACCCATACATATGCCGCAGTGTTAAGTGATTTGACTTGCTTACTAAGTATTTCCTAACTCTATTACTTCATATAAAAAGCAAAAAAAAAAAAAAAGAGTTGTGTTTTCCATGTTGTTTATTCGTTCAGTCGCTTCCAACTCTTCATGACCTCATGGACCAGCCCATGCCAGAGCTCCCTGTCAACCGTCACCAGCCCCATCTCCTTCAAGGTCAATCCAGTCACTTCAAGGATACCATCCATCCATCTTGCTCTTGGTTGGCCCCTCTTCCCTTTTCCTTCCTTTCCCCCCAGCATCATTGTCTTCTCCACGCTTTCCTGTCTTCTCATGATGTGGTCAAAGTACTTCATCTTTGCCTCTAATATCCTTCCCTCCAATGAGCAGCTGGGCTTTATTTCCTGAAATATGGACTGGTTGGATCTTCTTACAGTCCAAGGCATTCTCAGGATTTTCCTCCGACACCACAGTTCAAAAGCATCTATCTTCCTTTGCTCAGCCTTCCTTATGGTTCAGCTCCCACATCCATAGGTTACTATGGGGAACACCATTGCTTCAATTATGTGGATCTTCATTGCCAGTGTGATGTCTCTACTCTTCACTATTTTATCAAGATTGTTCATTGCTCTCCTCCCAAGAAGTAAACGTCTTCTGATTTCATGTTCCCATAGTGGGGAAAAAAATATTCCTGTATTAGGCCATTTCAAACCTGTAATATTGTGTCTGATTTTTGGCACAACAATTGAAGAGAGATATTGATAAGCTGGAATGTGTCCAGAGGAGGGCAACTGAAATGATCAAGGGTTTGGAGAACAAGCCCTATAAGGAGTGGCTTAAAGAGCTGGGCATGTTTAGCCTGAAGAAGAGATGGCTGAAAGGAGACATGATAGCCATGGATAAATATGTGAGAGGAAGTCATAGGGAGGAGGGAGCAAGCTTGTTTCCTGCTGCCTTGGAGGAACACGGAACAATGGCTTCAAACTACAAGAGAGGAGATTCCATCTGAACACGAGGAAGAACTTCCTGTGAGAGCCGTTCAGCAGTGGAACTCTCTGCCCCGGAGTGTGGTGGAGGCTCCTTCTTTGGAAGCTTTTAAGCAGAGGCTGGATGGCCATCTGTCTGGGGTGCTTTGAATGCAATTTTTCTGCTTTCTGGCAGAGGGATGGCCCATGAGGTCTCTTCAAACTCTATGATTCTATAATACCTTCAAATTAGGTCAATTATTGTTAACCATTCTGTATATTTTCTTTGCCTTTCCTCCTCAAGAGTACAAGAAAGGTACATAGCGTCTCCTCCATTCACTTGAGTGTCAAAACAACCCTGTGAGGGAGGATGGCATATAGGGCACCTTATTGAAACAGCTACCGTGATTTTAAAATCACATTTATTGTTCAACATAA